CACACACACAGGGTAAGTCTCCCAGGATGCTGAACACCTGCCAGAGCCAGTGGGCAAGGCTCCAGGAGATGTAGTGAGCTATACTCTGAGAGTTGGAAGCATCTCTTTATACCACACACCAGAGAGCCAACAGACACAGATTGCCCACTCAGCGAGAGGGCCGTAGAGAGGAGGAAACAGTGTGGAGGGGAACTGAATTAAAGGAGGAAGGAAGGTGAGAGTACAGAATAGGATTGAGTGGTAGAAGGAACCTCTAATAGGTAGAATGTAAGAATGAAAGGGCAATAGAAAAGGGAGAGAGAGTAGTAGCAGTGTCCACAACAAGAGGGGGAGATTTGTGGGAGATGTTATTGAGCTGGAGAGAGAGAGAGAGAGAGAGAGAGAGAGAGAGCTAAGAAAGGATTTAAACAAGAAAAAAAGAGGTGTAAGATTGAGAAAAATCTTGCGTTTGCAAAATTGGGGTCTTATTGGTTGGCAGGGGGAAATGGGGAAAGTGCAGGAATTACCTTGCTGCTATAAGCCTGTCCGACTGCTTTGGACTCCCGAGTGTATTTTAGGACTCCCCGTGCAGCTATCTCCTTGACTTGACTTTGACTTCATACACTGTGGTTTCAAATGACTTTGGCGACTCAGCTAGCGTCATTAATTCTTCACCAGTTCTCCTTCATACTCTACTTTGGTTGGAAGTTGTAGACAGGTATTGTTTCTTACATTAAAAAAGGGTGTTAAGGGTTGATTTCAGGAGAATCATTTTACAATCAATCTGAAATCTCAATCAAATTGAGTTGATTGTTAAGTTTTCAACCACTTGTAGGCGATTTAGGGAAGTCTTGCTAAGGCAGGTAAAAAGAGAATAATATAATCCATTAACTTTGGTCAATTAAGATTAAGAATTGACAAATAAGATAAGATAAGAATTATTTTTCTGATTTCTTTCCATCATTCTTTTTCTGCTCACTTGTTTTTGTGTCTTTTACTGTGTGTCCCACAAAGAGCCTTGTGTTTGTAGGAACGCAGCCTGTTCAAAGTGACAGATGCTGCTGTCTGTGCTCTGCCGCTAGCTGTTGATACTGTATCTTCAGGACCAAAAAAAAAAAGTGCCAGCGCCTGCATCGAAAGCTAAGAAAACTCAAGATGATTGAAATGCCACCCTTTGTTGTTTTTCTCATATTCTTTATGCACAGTGAGGTTCTCTGCCATTCCAGGCTTCAGCTCTGGCACCATATGTTCAAAACACATTATTGCAAGGCATGGTGATGTCATACCCTCTGTGCTCTTCATCGGGCATCCAAGAGACAGAGTGACAGTCCTGAATAATAAGATGTATAAAGGAAGAAAAAAAATGAAAGAAATAATAGAAAAGAACATATCTGAATAAAAACATACAGCACCTCTTCAAACACTCTAACAAAGTGCTTTTTCAAACATAAAGTTAGAAATGTATGGTAATTAATTGATTAAGAGTCACCAAGTATTGATTCAGCCTTACTAAAAAAATAATTCAATTCAAGAAATAATTGTCTGCTTAAGAATTTTAACACACAGTGCATCTGTTTCTAAAATAACTGCGACTGTGAGCTCCTTCCTTATTTTAAAGTGTCACATTACAGTTTCATTTCTGCCTCCTTTAACTTTCTTATAATCAGCAGAACTTTTCCTCAGATGCTATTTCTGAACCTCTTGGACGTTTTCAGTTCAGATCGGGTTGCTTTGTTATCCTGAAAGATGTTCCTTCCATCAGGAAACACGTGCATCGTCAGATGAAAGTGAATCATTACGCCGGCTGTGATTACAGTCTACGATGGCATCGAAGGAACAGTTATAGCGCTACAGGAGATTGTCCCAGAAAAATATTTCCCACTGTGCGGCAGAATCACAAGACGCTTTTCACAGACCAGCTCCAGACATTAAAAATTGTACTGAGAAAAACAAGATAGATAACAAGATATTGAAGCAGATAAATGTTTTCCTGTTTCTATTTGTCTTTGTATGTGGTGATAGTTTGAAAATTTAAAAAGAAAACAGTCTGTCAAATCTGTAAAATGCCCAGTTTCTATTTGTTTCAGTTCTTATTTCACACTCCAGTAGAAGAATTAGACAAGACATTTTGGCAAGAAGTTTGTTGGTGCATTCAGTGGTACATCTTTTAAAACTTTCCATGTTTTTTTTTTGGGGGGGGGGGGGGTAATATAGTTTTCACTTTGATCGCAGCATCATCTTTTGTATTGTTACAGACCATAGATTCAGGCTGTTGTACAGCACACTTCTCTGGACCCGCTTGTAGTAGTTGTATCGTGCGCTCTCTGTTCAGCTGCCTCCTCCTGACATGAGCTTCAGAAACCAGCGAGAGAGTATGTTCTCTGCCCTCGTGTCTGTCAGCGTCTCAATAAGGACTTGTGCTGTAAGATGGAGGTGGAACAGGACTGGAGAGGTGCACTGAGTTTGACTGAAATGTATCCTTACCTGGATATCCTTAACCTGTTTTTTTTTTTCAATCTCAGGAGAATTTGCATAATAGAGGAGAGCTGGAGAGAAAAGTAAAAGAACGAGTTATCATCAAGCTGTCTGCTCGTACGTAATGGACCACCATGTTGCCGTGACAAAAACGCATGTATGATAGTTTGACACCTTACATAATGAAGGAGACATTTCAAGGACTTAATTAAACAGTATGGAAACATTTAGTTTAATGGTCTATAATTGATCTTTCTGCTGAAGAACGAGTCATTTAATGCTGTTGTGACTTTTAATAGATGACTCCGTACCTTGCCAGGGGTGTAAAGTGCACTGAGTAGGCTACTCTGAACATAGCTGAAGCTTTTAGCAGAGCCCAAACTGGGAGAACATTAACTTAAGTACATGGTGTGTATGGTGAACAATGTTAAGTGCACTTTACATGCTGCTCTTGTCTTCGTACCTCTCCTCATGTCATTCCTTTACAAACAGTTCTTTCTAACACTGCTATTTCCTTCATATCACTGTGTGTGGATCCGATGTGTCTGCTTTACAGCTCTTCTCCCTGCATTTCCTATCACTTCTCCTCACTTTTCCGTCCATCTTTCTCAGCTCTTTCTTCTCGACACTCTCGCCTCGATTCACCTCTGCCCTTGTCCTTTTCCTCTCTTTCCTCTTCCTCCACCCTTCTTGGCCCCAGGATGGCTCCATCCCTCCAGTACGTCTCCTCTTGACAAATGAGGCCACTGCCTGGCCGCAAGCAGTGGTGCATCAAGGGCACGACAATTACAGATACGGCGTCGGACTTCTCTCTTCGCTAACCTGGTCTAGACATGCTCGGTCCGTGTGTCTCCCTGGAACGGCACTATTCTGTAGCTCAGAGGTTGAATCCGAACAGACGAGAGATTATTGTCCCATCACACTTCATGCATGAAACTTTTCACTGTTTCACTAAAGAGTTAAGTGACACAATTCAAATCTCCAGAGTGAGTAGATAATGATAATACCATTCAAGCACACCTGATGCAGATGTAACATTGTGCATTTCTTAAAAATGTATTTAAAAGATGAGGAAAGAAAACTAAATTAACAATAGCTCCTTACAAAATAGACCAATAAAGACAGAAAAACAGAAAATAATACAATAGCTACTCCTGTCTTCTTTATAAAAATGATTTATTCCTGTAATATTTCTTAAATAGTCTCATTTAAAATCAATGCAATCAGTGAGACGGAGAGAGAGGATGTCAGCGACACATGAGTAGGGAGTGTAAATGAGGTGGGCGTGATACTGTAAATTTATGTTAAATCAATGCACATCTCCTCGGATGGTGTGTGTGTACATCATACTTTCACTATGCAGTATATTAACTATATTATAATTAGAAGGGTCGATACTGTATGAATATGCCTGCACTTCATTTAACTCACTATGCTGAGTTTATATTTCATTTTATACAACCTTGGCGTGACGTTTGTATTGAATTTTTGTGTAGAACTTAATTTCTGTTTTCAATATCTTTGGGTTTTATGTTTATATGCCAGCCTTATATATGGTATTGCGAATGAAAATGTATAGTTTTCACTCATATCAATTTGATCTGAGCACCTAAAATCCTGCTCTTGTGGTCAATTAAATGTTGAACATGTCAAACACCGAACATATGTGGTGATGTGGAACTTATGTGGGGTATAAAAGGTTTCGAAAGAAGATCCCTCCGAGCCGTCCCTTTTAATTTAGTTGTAATTTCATCCATTAACCTGCTGGTTCATGCTTTGATTCATTCTTTCTCTTTGTTCCGGGTTAGTGGGGTTAATTATGAATGTGTTTTAATAAAGCTTAATGTCTTTAAAGAGTTGCATTTAGCTCAGTCTCCATTTTGCTTCTTCATCCATAGACAAGAAGGATCACAAAGTGTCCTCCCACACACATACTGCATTCTGAGTCAGATGATATATGATGGAAAATGTAGACTTAATTTTAATTATTGACTATTACAGGAAGCCAAAGAGAGAATGATGTTCTCTGTGTAGGTGGTATTACACTATGTGTGCGTGGGATTGAAGTGTTATGACACATCCAAATGACTACATCGGTACAATGTTCAGCTCAGCTCGGGCTGCTGAACCATGGAAAGAAGGATTACATTATTAAGATGTATTAATAGCATATCATCACAGTCTTGACACTTGAGCTTGCAACTACAGTTTCTGCCAAAAGACTAAGAGAGTGAAACATGCAGAACACTGTAGATAATTACGCTGTAGATTAAGCAACGCTTTCATCTAACAGTTGGCACTGGTTTGTTGAGTCGATACCTTCTCTCTGAATTTCTCGTTGCTATATTTACTTGGCTACCAACACCTTGTACCCGTGTGTCACAGTTTCTTCCCTGAAGTGTGATGCAGTAACATCGCCAGTGAAATATTGTCACTGAGCTCCCTGAGAAATAGAAATCTTGAGGATTTGTCCTTCTGTCATTTCAGGGATGTCTTAAGCCCATCATTTCCCCTCAACTTTTGTCCTTTTTTTTATACTCTTGCAGCTCTCTTTACAGAGGTGCCACATGACATCACGACGCAGAGCGGTGAGGATGTAGAGATGGCGTGTTCTTTCCGTGGGGCAGGCTCTCCCGCCTACTCGCTGGAGATCCAGTGGTGGTACATCAGAGACTGGCATAAGAAGCCTGCTCAGATCGCTGATAATGTAAGACGCCAAAGAAAGCGTTTTTGTTTGATGTGTGCAGTGATTCTCGGGAGAATACGTGTACCGCCGTCGGTAAAAAGAGTTTATATTTTAAAAGCAAATCCATATATTTGTGATAAACATCCAAATAGGATTGCAAACTGGTGTGATGGGATCTTTAGCAAATTTGAGCCCCCTGAATGCGGACAATTCAATTGTATCAAAAAAAAAGAGGTAACAATATTTTAGATAGTGAATTATGATAAATAACATGCCATTTATGATCCATTCGTGAGAAGAACATATTATGGATGATGCTGATGAAGGGTTACATAGGTTAAACAGATAGGGCTGTGGGCCTATAACAGACAAAAAACAGGTTGGGACTAAATGTATTAGCGTAGATTACGGTAAGATGACTGAGTGCATAAGGTGCTTACAAGACACCACTACACTGTATATTAGACATCATAAAGACGGCAAGACATCCAGTGATACACGTACAAATCACAAGAAAAACATCAATAACATTGTCTGTATATCATTTCAGGTAGTGTGTAGATATACATATACACTAAGTAGAGGAAGAAGAGCAAGAAATTCAACAAGCCCAACAATTATCCTAAAAAACAGCTTCCTTGTCTCCCATCTCCCGGGCCTTCTGCAAGTAATTGTCGAATGTTTCATATGCGAATAGTCAACCATTTCTTTGTGTGTTGCCTATGGTTTCAAAGAATCAACTTCAGTTCTTATCTTACAAAACAACATGTCCCTTTATCTTTGAGATGCGTATGGTTAGTGCTTGAAAGCAGAAAACATAATCTGTGACAGCTATTTTCTCATACATGAGGGCTTTTATTTTACTCAGCGACCCAGGGTTAAACACTTCTTTTTATATCTGTTCAGTAGAGTCACAAAGTCCATTTTATGTATCACTATTTCAGTTTTTGCAATTCAATTTATTTGGACAGAACAGCTCGGACTGAACCTAAAGCTCGCTATATATCAGGCAGGGGGAAAATGCAACGTTAGCCACGGCAGAAACCCTCTGGCACGGAAACGAAGGGATAATTGCTGATTAGCATTTGCCAGCACTGGGGGAACAGGTTGACTCTCTCCCAATATGGGGGAACTCAGGCTCCCCTATTGTGCCTCTAGACACTATAATTGGCACTGAGAAAGATTTTCAAAATATCTGTCTGCTCCATGCATAATTCATACCTATGCCCAAAAGAATACCTCTGTGCCTCTGCATACGCATTTCACACACACTCTCCTGCTCAGAGGCTTACGTGCTTAGGGTTGTAGAGTGTGTGCTCATACACACACACACACACACACACACACATTTAAACATGCACATATGAGCATGCGTACCCACCCAGAGAGAAAATGGTAACTACAAGGAGGAAAAAACACGCTGAAAACATCAGACATGTTTGTCCGCTGCAATCTTTTGCTTTTGTGAGATGCTTTTAGAAAAGTGCATCTGTTGCTAATGCATCATCCATATCTCTGTGCAGGTTGCAGCCCTGGAGGAAACTTCCAAAGACGCCACCAAAATTAGTGTGAGTTTGATTCTGCGCCAACTGTCAACAAGCACAAACAAGGAAGACGATATCAAAGAAAACTATTTTCTTTCACTATAATGAAGATGAAAGACATCCAAGCTTTTGCTAGATCTATTTCTGTTATCCATTTTACCCATATCCATAATTAAGGAGTTTAGAATGATATAGACATGTTACTGTATGTTTACCATACGGCTTCAAATAAGAATACATAATGTTTTGTCCCCATCAGGTGGTAAAAGTAGCCGGCAGCAACATCTCCCACAAGCTCCGTCTCTCCAGCGTCAAGCCGTCAGACGAGGGCACGTACGAGTGTCGCGTCATTGACTTCAGCGGCACCGTGGCGCAGCAACACCGCGTTCGCGCCTACCTCCAGGTGGAGCCCGAGAGGAGTCAGGGGCCGGACGACTTCAAGCTGCAGGAGCCAGGGCAGCGGTCACGGGGGAGCCACCCTCACACCCGCCACCAGACAGAGGGCAGGGAACTGAAGAGGAGATCAGCTAGCAGCACCACTGACTGTAATGAGAGCTGCGTGCTTTAGAGTCGGCAGTCGTGCCCGTCTGTCTGCATGTCCATGACTTATCTCTAAAGAGGGACTGTCATCAACATACACGTCGCCACAGAGTCGAGGTGTAGGACGTAACTGGAAGGCTTTGTGTTTCACGGTGTGTTTGTCTATCTCTAATATTGCTGTTTGGATGCCAACGCTGTTGAATGCCAATGAAGGGCACATATGATTGTTTTCTTTTTGTTTTGCTTTGTTTCGTTGTCTCTGTGCTTTCTTCTTATTGTATTAGGTTGATGTTAATGTGACTGTTAGGCTGTATTTACAGATAGCTTTTGTTTTGTTATTTTTTTGTCTGAGCAGGACTCTTTCAATGGCCAAAACTTCTCCTCACAAAGTTAAAGTACAGGCAGTGGAGAGTCAGAATTATCACTGAAATCATGAATACTAAATAAACCATTTCCTTTGCAATGTGCCAGTTTTACTGTCTTTTACCAAAACATGTGCAAAAAGCTGCAGTATTTTAATGCTTAAGAATAAATTAAGCTTTTTTCATTCACCTGAGAACTTTTCAAATTGCATTTTATTGATGTAATATTTGTTTTAACACTATAACACTACAATGTTTGTCACAATAAAAATGTATGCCTTCATCACATCAAGATAATATAAAATCTTCTGTGAATTCATGTTTGGCACTGTAGACTTTTGCTGTTATCAAGTTTACTCTGTGCATCTTAACCAAATGTCAAGAAACACAACTAGTATACGTTAATCACTCCAAACTTTTGTCATCATTTTCTCAACCACAGTATATCTTTTTGTCACCTGACTCACATTCTCCTCTTAAATGTGTTTGTTCTAAGTGCTGCTGTTTGGTATCTGTTCTGTTCAATACATCCATTTGAAATGACTCCGGTCTTTTTTCGTTATTCTGATATTCAGTGTTGTATTTTATTACTATTGGCGGCACAAACTAATGGGTTTGTAGATTCTTCATTTTGAACTGTGAGGTAAAATCACACTTTATTTATTTTAACCTAATACATGTTACGGATTGGAGGAAGACGTTTTCTGCGTACCTTTCAAACATTGTTTGGTTTTTTGTATCTATGGTTGTAAATGGATAGGCTATTCAGTTTTGTGTATCTTGTTAAAAAGTATCTTAACAGTTGAATGGCTGTGTGTTGCAACCAGTTACTCCACCACAAAAACAATGCCTGATACAGAAGCTCTCCAGCCTCGTTTTTAATACTTGCAACTACTGTTTGTGACCAGAAGAGAGCAGCACTTCCTCTAACTTTAGGAAGATGAATCCCACACCTGCATGCAGATGCACCCGTATTGATGGTAGAAATATCAATTTTACAAAAAGTTGATTTGTTTCAGGCCACAAGAACCAGCAGTACCAACTGTACAGAGTAGTGCTGCAGTTTGCCACGATCAAGACTCATTACCTAAAGACATCCACAGGCTTTTCAAATGATCTGTGTCCCAGGTACAAGGAGAGAAGTTAACAGTTTGAATTTAATGCAGTATGTCACCCACATGTAAACTAAGACCAGCTCTTTTGATCATAGTTGTTTGGCTACAGCTGTCTAAATTGATCTCTTCAGTAAATAATATATTCATGATTGAAACAACTTGTCAAACACCACGCCGGATGCCTCATCACCTCTGCTGTTGGCAGAATGTGCAAAAGGTAGATTGTTGCATTAATAGCAAATAAAAGATGTACACGTTGCATTTGTGCTCTCAGTCGAACACATTTTGTCCAACAAGGTCGAAGATTGTGTGAAAAGTCTGACTGGTTGAAACATTATCACAAAACATGTGTAACAACTCTTTTAATCGTGGCACTTAAAAAGTAGAAAAATAGTACATAGTTCCTAAAATGCTAACCATCACTTCAGATCACAGCACACATTCTGTTAAAAGTTGTGCATGCACAGATTTGATTAGCCTTAATAAGTACAAAGCGTTTACATTAACATATCTATGGTTCTGAGTAAATATAGATATACATGAAGCAATCAGGATATACAGTGAGATTCTAAGGTATTTGAATAGAAAAGCATTTTATGTATTAAACAAAAGCCTTTGCTTCTCTTTAGATGGCTAAACGGTTAACAACTCTGACTTAAGAGTAACAGCACTGCCGTCTATTTGACTGTAACGGTTGAAAGGCTTTACTTTCCAACGATGACATTTCTGTAGCCCTTGACGTGACACAACTTGTTGCTGTCGAAGTCGACCACCAGCTTTCTCATCCCAGAGTGGGTGGGGGTGAAGTAAATCTTCACTTTGGCATCTTCCCCAGGTCCCACTGAGAAGCCAAGCCTGTAAGGTAAATATTTAAATATTAAGTTTGTGTCACACGCTCGGAGGGATTTATTACAGTCTTCTGATTGCATAAATATTTACATTATCAATTAGCACTGACATAGGACTCGGGACAGTTTTTGCCTATTTATAGAGACGATACTTCAGTGTTTAAACTCAGCAGAGGATTGAAGGTTATAAAAATAAGTATTCTTTAATAACAGTTTCACTGTTTTATTTTTCTTTGAACAATAGCACTGACCATGAAAACACATCGTGCAGACACATCATGCAAAATAAATGTAGTCAGGATTAAAGTAATTGATTGGCTTCTCCTTACTTTGGTCACTGAATATGATCACAGTATACAAATTAAATTATAGAGAGATTATTGTTGAGCAACAACAAGCCATCTCACTGGTATTTCAATGTATTCAGTAAACCTCTGTACTGTATTTTTTTCTTTTCCAGAGGCCTCCTGTCCTGACTACAGGGGCACATCCAGCCAAACATATGGATGCTGCACTAAGACCGGAGCTACTACTCTTCAAACACAATAACACATATCTGTGGAAGTCAAACACTTCCATTACACAAATGTGATGATTTTTAGAAGACCGAGATAGGCCCATGTGTTGTCATTGGGTAAAAAGGCAGAATGAAGTTTGTTTGGTGAGCTAACTTGTTGCTCTAAATCCTTTCACTTATATTTTGAATGTTTCCTGCTTCCTTGTCTTGGAGAGAAACTGTTCAAATGATTTGCTAAATTGTGTAACAGTGTTTTTTTGATTTATGGTCGGTCAGTTGGTGATCTGTGTGAGTTGTCTCTCGTATTTATACAACCTCTCAGAGATGACGTCTCCTGCAGTGAGGTTGGCCCCCTCGATGCTGAAGCAGCAGTTCTCCAGCGGCTCTGGCAGAGGGTTTTTGAGGGTGATCTCTGCAGCCAGCTTTCGATTCTCCTTCGGTTCACCCAGGATCTGCAGAGCGCCGTCACATCCAGGTGTTAGTTAATTTGAAGGTATCACAGTAAGTATGTTACAGTTTTGCTTGGGTCAAGCTTTGTTCATACGTACTGTGGGAATAGGTGTTGATGTTTCAATACTGTAATCGTGTATCAACGTAACCCTGGTATGGCTGATACTAAGCTTTTAAGATCAACCTCAGACTTGACCCTTATCATGGTATTAGTGAGTAGCTGGCCGTTTTATACTTTTCTTTGCATTTTCAGGGCTTCTTTTGACTTTGAAATTGCATTTAATTGAACATTATGTAACTGTTTTGGCATCATTAGTTAAATATACAAATGCCCTAGGTTTTACTTCATAGTACTCACTCTGACTTTGATTTCAGGATTATCCAGGACAATGTTTCTCACTGCCAGTGTTGCATCTCTAGTGGAGTAGTCCATCAACAGAGCTGCCAGACGGATTAAGTTGTCCTCAGTGAGTGGGCCACCATACTTAGAGTAGTTCAGCCTGAGTGGAACTCGCCTCTCTAGAAGAACACACACAACATTTTAAATACTCACAATGAAAAGGTCGAGAGCATAAAGCATTCACATGTAAAACGCCACACTGCGACTTGGCTCACCTGCTCCTGGTGAGAGTTCAACATTGAGCAGATCTTTAAAACCACAATTGTCTCCCAGAAAGCCATTGTAGGACACGGCGCAGGATCCAAACACCAGGCGGCACTTCTTCTCGCTTTGAGTGTTGTTCGTAACCACAGCGAATACATCAAAGTCGCAGCCCTTCCTCATGTCTGATGTCACCTTGATAGTGAGGTGTAGGCCTTGATTTTGCTGCTGCTGGAGCAGCTTGTTTTGGTGGTTAGCCTTCTTGAAAGCCTCCCGCTCTTCATCAGAGCCTGGAAATATAGAAGCAACAGTAAATAACTGTAGCTTCTAAAGAATTTGCTGTCCAAAATATGTAATTTCTCTATATTTAACATGACAAATTGCCTGTATAAGTAAAGGAGCTTAAACCTGACCTCCTTAAAAAACTGCATTAGGGTAACACAAATACTGACAGGGAGTGTAAGACTTTGCACAGCAAGTGGCCTTGATGTGACCTGCTGATAGAGGAGGAGGTTTGCATATAGTTTTATTAATAATATTTAATATTGATAGGACCAGCTCTTGTGATGTTTAGTTAGGTTTATCTACATGTGCCGGGTATCCAGCAGTGCTCTCTACCTTCGGGGTGCTTGTACAAATGAGTGATGTCCTCTCTGGCGTCACTGCCGACACTCTTTGTGCTGATCTTCTGGCCCACCATTGTAGTGCTAGTAACTTTCGATGTGCTGCCGTCTTTTTTCTTCATGATGGTGATGACATCAGCGTTGACCTCAGCAAAGACAAACGCGGCGTCATACTTGGACGTGAGCTCGCCCTGCTTGATGGCCCTGACAGGGATAGGGCCGCAGCAGTACACTCCTAAGGGAAAATGGCGGAAAATAACCTCTGTGAGGATATGCCTTGATCAAACAAACGCCTCATGGGTTCATTGATGCAGCATGTTTGTTACCTTCGCTTTTTTCCTGAGGTGTAGGGTCACTGGCCTGCCAGCCATTAAAATCAGATTTGATGTCAGGCCGGGTCATCCAGCTCTCCACCCAGCAGTGATAGTTCCTACAGATACACACCATCAGTTGGATTCATTCACTTGATGCACTTTCTGTTTTTTCAATAAAGACATCTCATCACTGGACTTGTTCTGAAGTCATTACCAAAACTGATTTTTCTCTACTGTGTAAATTTCTACTATCAGTTTAAATCAGTGGATCTTCCAAACTACAGTATTGGGAAGTACATCTGATTGAATACTGTTCTATTTCATGAGAAATATTTCATTTAATATGTGATCACATTGCCAAATTTGAGGTAGGGCAAGATAATAAACTCTCAAATTTCTTACTCTCACTGTCAAATAATTCCCAGTAGTCCTGACAATCTCCTTATTGTACACACATATCTGTCCTCGTAATGTATCTTAACACACCTTTTATCTTCAGAGTATATATTGTTAAAACTATTTTAAAGTACATTGATAGTACACAGCCCTGTCTCCTACTGTGGTATTAGACACTGTACATAAAAAGTGTTCCTACCAGATCATTTCTTTGGACTGAGTGAGTTCTCCATTTTCGTCGATGTAGTGTTCAATCACCAGGTCGCTGTTGTTGTCGTGGGCTGACAGGTAGTTGGTGACGACTCGGCAGGGGATGCCAAGGGCTCTGAAAACTAACGGTATAAAAACAACTTACATGAGTTTTGCGATACAAAGACGATGAGCAAAATGTCATAACTGTGTTTACATATATTGTGTTATGTTGTGTCTGTTTTCCAGTGATAGGCCACCAAGCTCCACTCCTTCCTATCTTACTTGAACAGGCCACTGCAGCAAACACCCAGCACTGTCCGTAGCGAACAGGCTGACAGGCTTGTGTGTCCCAATTGCGCAGAATCTCCATACTGCCCCTCCAGAACATGGGGCTGACACCTCCTTCGTAGCCATCTGTCCATTTTCCCAGCAACACCCCTTTGTCATCATTACAATTCACCTACCAGGCAAAGGAAAGGAGTGTAAACCGTTTATTTTTCTTTTGAAATTCAAGCCTTTATTAGTTTGAAATTACATCATCGGTATTGCATGAACCTATTCATGCAAATAAAAACAGTAAAGAGAAAATGCATATAACTTGCCATGGCACTAAGCACTCTGGAAACATAAATGGGATTTCTCCTCCCTGAGCAGTCCTTGCCAGGATTCTTCAGACATTTAGGATTCATATCCAAAATCCTAAGACAGATGTCCAGAATTCCACTTTCAAACTGTACACAAATACTGCTGATTAGGTTTTGTCACTGATACAAGTATAGAGGTGGAACATAATCAAAAGAGAGATTCAAGGTTAGACATGTCCTCTTCTAAACAAGAAAGACAGGTGCAAACACACGGTGAATTAGATGTGTAACTCTGCCATGCTGTAAAGCTCAATAGTAGTTGCACTGCTAATGCCAAACTAATCAAACTGTATATCAGATGTCAAAGAACAGGCTGGAAATGATAACAGCTCGTCATGATTCACTTGATAAATGGATCTTTTTGCTGTCAGAATAAGAGTGTTTCATACTCCTTCACCACACTGTGGGTGTGAGATGAAGTGAGGCTGACAGTGTTGGTGTTGGTACCTGGCCAAAGTTCCAGGGAGTTGGTATGGGATGTTTGTAGCTGCCTCGATAGATGATTCCATCCTGAGACAAGACATACTCTGCCAAACTCCGCTCATTGTCCATATATACTGCATCTCCTGTTGCCAAGAGAAATTGCGATAAAATCAATGTCCTAATAACATGACTGGTAAAGTATCAGCCTTCATTTCTTGGAAAAAAAAATAAACATATTTTCTTCTCACCCTGCAGTTGATGGAGTTTGTTTTCATAGAATTTTAAACTTCCACTTAACTTAAAAGAATAGTTTGTCATTTTGGAAAATACACTTATTCGCTATCGTGCCAAGAGTTATATGAGAAGATCAGTATCACTCTCTTATTTTTTTTTATTATTATTACATTAAACTACTACCATTCATGTATATAGGCTAATCTCTGCAGCACTGTTCCGAAATAGCTGCTGTCAAAAGCCCACTCTGGAATGAAACATGATCACCAAAGCACACTGTAGCCTGTGATCACTCACTACACTAGATCCACTACATGACAGCTTGACTCATGGTCTGTTTACCCACCTGTGCACCAAGGGTTAAAGAGCAGGATAAACTCGATCCGCCCTGATCCCCCCAGGGTCAGTGTGTAGCGGCCGATAGGTGCATCAGGGGGAGAGCAGACGGACAAGGCCACCATGTCCCCGGGGGGACTAATGACAGCGGCGCTCCAGCAGGAAGTGTCAATGCTGGCAGACAGACCAAAAGAGGCCCTGGTGCCATACTGCTCAGAGGGTTGAGGACCTACATGTAAAAGAGAATATGGTAAAAGTCCTGAGATTAGATGTGGGAAAAAGCCTAGGGGTCTTGGTGAAACATTTGTGTCTGGGGAATGGAAACTTGCAGGGTACATTTATACTGTTTTCCTAACCCTGCTTCAATACAGTTCAAACATCTCTGGAATCTGGTCTCATGCATGGGCAGCATAACTGTGTAATGGCATTTAATTAAGACCACAGTTGTTTGGGACTCAAGTCTTTCTGTGTGACCTCAATTCAGAATTGAACTCTGGTAAATTACGTAAACTTAAAATCATCTGTGTTCCTTCAAATCCAAACAGTCAATTCCTTCACATCTTCCACCCGGTACAGCCAACTACACCAAAGGAAGGCTGATACCTTCTCATTGGGTGGGATTAAGGGTCCGACTTCCAACTATTAAAACATATTTGTCTTTCAAAGGCTGATAATGTTATCTATAATTATACACATGCATTCCTGTTGGCAAGCAGAACTTCCTCTTTTCGATTTCATGGCAAGTAACAGCTGTCTTATCATACTCTGCATGGGAAGATTATCCAAGGAGAAGAGGCAGATGGTTTTCAGTGTTTATAGGGTTGACAGCAAATTCATGATCATACAGTATCTGGGGCTCCCAACAATAACAGCTAAATTCACTAACACCCGCAGAACAATAAGAGAGGAGGTCAGGATAACAATGGAAAAACCAGAAAAACATCTCACAGCTACTGAAAATGCGCTCCTGATCAACGCCAGCAGTGGTGTCACTGAAAACCTAACAAGAGGAAATAACTTCCTTTTCCTTTCCACCAACATTACCGCTCCCTTCCCCTCTAATCTCTGAAATCACAATCAGTAGCAAAGGAAATAATGTCAGCAGAAACACACAGTAGGTTCAAATGTAACCTCCTAAATAGGAGGAAAGCTTTGGTCATTTACTGCACATTTCCAAATGTCCTGATGCAGTGCAAATGACTGACAAGATACATTAACAGAAACCTACATAACATCCAAAATAACTAAGAAAATGAGTTCTAAAATATATGGCTCTACCTGTCTCTGCAATGCAGTCAAGAGAGCTGACTCCCGGTTGGTAGGTTCCGGAGCGAAGGTACAGGCTGATTGTGAACAGTTGGCCTCTCCTCACGATCAGACGATCCGCACCGTTGAGATCAGTGCTGTGGTCCATGTTGTTGAACTCACACTCCAGGTTCCAGCGTTCAATGTCCAGAGCTTGAAAGAAGAGAGACCATTGAAAAAGCACATAAAAAACGTAACACACAGCCCTATTAACGAGGTGTTTATTACATATCTCTGAAATGTACAACACAGACGTAGAACAATCATTACTGAGTATTAATAACTTACTATCCTTTTACCAACACATAACAAACACTTTCAAAACTTCTAGTCAAAACGGACTTTGATTTTGTTCAAGAATTATTTTAGTTTTTTACAACAAATGTATGAAATCCTACATAGCATCTAAAGGGTGTCTCTTTATATTCAATAGAAAAGTGCATATACATCTATTTTTAGCACTCTTTAAGCAGTATTCTTGGATCTTATTTTGATTTAATAGGAGGATAGTGTATATGTTTATGGAGCAATTTAAATGTCACAACATAGTCTTGATGAAGTGCAAATTGTAAAACATAGCTGTGTGTAGGATGAGGGATATTTAATAGAATTCACAAGGCCCAACAATTACAAATAACTCTTTTATAACAGACTTGGGGTGAATTAACCAGAAAATGGTGGTTAACTAGAGGCTGGATTTCGTCACGTGGCCAGGTACGTGCTTTTATATATTATACTGCTTTCCAATCTACAAACTGATGTTTTTAAATCATTTTATCTTCTCGGTTGATTTAATGTTTGTAAAGCTTTACAATTATTTCCTCAAAGTCATTGCAAATTAGGTGGAAACGGCAGGACACTCGCAGCCATTTAAGGTAAGATAATTGGGCTTTCTGTATGATTTTAACAAGAGGTAAACACCGACAGAGAGCCACTCCTTGTGAAATGTGCAAACACACAGCCACTCCTTCTCTCCAGGGCGCCTTGTGACTAATATAAGGCCACCCTTTGATTTCCTGTTGGTAGGAAAAGTACGGGTCTACCTCCTGCTCCATGACATGTCAGGAGGTTAACCTCTCCCCATATATTATGCCTTGGTGTTAAGAAAAGCCCTGAAAACAGGTTCTAGTGTCAAGGCTAGACTAGACTTGGGTAAACAAAGACTTCCTGCTGTTTTACATCAGGAAATCCATCATTCCTCCGTATTTCTCATGGCTCTGATGTTTTACTGATCTCCACCTTGGTTCAGGTCATAATTGAAGACGTGTTAGTATAACTAATTGGGGCAAATGCCAACGCTGCATGTATTCTAGTACAGCTGGAGTCAGTGGATCATGAGGGCTTTGCGGCTTAGCCTGTGTATATTCTCAAGTCCTTTAGCTTACATTTCATCTGCACACAATTCAAAGAAATATCAGCATTGTATTTGAACACAGATGAACAGATTGAGGAACCATCTGAGGAAATAAATACTGTATCTCTCTTGGGTCAAATAAATTCGTCGTCACTTTTTCCTTTTGAAGAGAGAAGAGTTTTATTGTACTTGCACCTCATGGCAAGAGAGTCCAATAAAACAGATCCTCAGCTTACAGAATGTGAAATCTATTACAAAGAATAATGACACATGAAAGTCTGAGACACAAAACCTTGAGAAACAACTCACTAATGGTGCAATAAGTAAACTGAGGTCATGCTTTCTGTTGTGATTTTAGAGTTTTTTTGCGGCTTCGTAATTGGTATAAAAGAAACTTACTTTGGATTTGTTCCCAAACCACATTGCATGTGGCATTCAAGGTAAAGCAGTTGTGGTAGCAGATGGTGTACATGCGTGATGTACCGCCAAACTGAATGCATTTTTTTGCAGCTTGCAGTTTATTCTGTTGGGTTACACAACTTGTAGCAGCACAATGCTCTAAAGCATGGGCAAAAGATTCCTCAGTGTTGTACACGCCCACACCTCGGTCCCACTTTACCAACTATGACCCACACACAGAGGGACTGTCTCAGTAAGCAGCACTGAGGCCAGCATGAGCCTTTTAAGGAAATTAAAACAACATCTAGCTGGTGTCAACTAGTCACTGGTACAGTAAACACTATTTGAATTTTGTAAAAATAAACATGATCCCATCAGAAATGAATGGATGTCTAAGTCTTGTAGGTAACACCCATGCTGAATTCAGAGCTCCATCACAGACACTTTAAATTTCAACTAAATGCTTTGTTAATACATTTCCACTAAATGCTTTGTAAACTTCCAACAGATGGAAAACAGGTGACACAGATTTATCACTATGCTGTTTATTCTACAACCAAATTCTGCAACGGTGATTTGCTCATATTTTTTTTTTTTGTGTGTAGCACATCGACGCTCCAATAGACATCTTCCTCACATCCTGCGACCATGAAGATCAAATATTGCAAAAGGCAAAAGCATTTCTTTTATGACTTCAGACTAGCCTGTTCCAGTTCAGTGGGTTTTTTTCTGTTAAATACGCACCCTCAAAGTGAAAATTGCATGCCTTTTCTGCCATGTAATGTCCAACAGACCTACTCAGATATTTTTGGCATGCTACACATTTTGCCTACACACACACAGGTCAAAGACATATTTACAATCTTTGGAGGTGATTCTGAGCCACCTGGAGGTTTGACTACTTTCTTGTTTGGGGACTTTTGAATGTCTTTACAAGCTTTTAACGGTAAACTATTTGTCGGGTGGTATGTGTGTGTGCCTGTAAAGAGAGCAGCAGTTGACGGGCTGCGGCTGCAGCTGCTTTGAGGCGCTATTATAAGGGTCCCAGCAGGGCAACAACAAGTGAAACATTTTTCAGATGCATTGGCTTTTAGATCTCTGATAAACGGCTGCTTATCAGAGTTATCCTGCAGCTTTGAAACCAGCTTACACAGGTTGATAATATGTGCAGGCTGTGATAACTTTACATGTTTCCCATTTGTTATTCTCAGACATCATGTCTACAGCATGCTCACAGACAAGACTTAGTGAAAATGTGCCCTTCCTTGTCATTAACTCCTCAATATTACTAAAAACTGAACACTGAGCATCAAAATACACTGCAAGAGACTTGAAGTTGCATTCAATCAAACTATTCCCATATTAGGAAATAGCAAAGCAAAGTCCTTGGGGTACTGACTTTTGGGATAAATATGGATTATGTCAAAACGAATCAACATGTAGCCCATGTATTTTTAACTACCTAGTAATAAACTACCACCCAACTTATTTTAAGATGGCAAATACTTTTGCCAAATGTGACCGTGAGTTTGTCTGCTAAAGATACAAGTAGTCAGGATCCAACTTACCTTGAGCCATGACTGCTGCTGTGTTCTGTGATGTCAGTGAATCTCGGAGGGGAATAGTGTGCCACTTCTCGCCGTCATCTCGGTTTTATTTGTGGGTCTTATTTGTAGGTCTGATAGTGGGCGTGACGCCACACAGAACGCACCCCTTCGTGCGTGTCTACTCACACGCACGCGAGTCGTTGTAGCCTCCGTACATCCTCCGCTGATTCATTGCAGACGGTGACGTTACTGCAGTACGGAGAGTTTTGTGCAATTGCATGGTTAGCAAAGAAAAAGTACTTTCTCTGAAGTTTTTGACCCAGAATAATAGTGCAAAGGCACAAAGTTCACTGTCATTTCTGTAATGATTTTTAATGATGAGAGGATGCATGGAGCTAACTAGGTCATATTGGTGGGTGCAGTTAATTTGAACCAGTCGTCCACTGTTATGTTATAGTTTCACTGGATTGTCCAATAATTAAAAGGTGAGTCTGGCGATATTCTGTATTTTTATATACTATATTTTTGTCATCAACCAAACACATGAAAAGATAAAGTAGGCTTATTGATCCTACTAATGAGCATCTGTGTATTCAAAGTCTGTATAGTTTATTCATGAGCGCCACAGACATCCAATGTTGTCCAAAAACTATAATCAAAACGCATAAATGAGCGGTTGACATGTTCCATCACATGAACATGGAAGCTTATTAAAACCCACACAGTCATAAATGCGGTCATGAATATTCACGAGTACTTATTAGTCCATTGTGGTAAATATCTTTAAACTATTTGCTCCTGTTGCTGTAAACTACAGCCCCCTGCTGTTATATTTTTTGACAATGAAATGAAATATAGAATTATACCAGCATTTACTTATAAGAAGCGGTTACAGGTACTGGAGGTCTTTTCAGCTGTCAATCCCAGTTGATGCACCACAAAGAAAATGTGCACTGGTATAGGCTACATGATGAGGGGCGAGGGATATGTATATATACAGACCCAAGTGCACAAAAGGACATTGTATAAACAGCTTCTAAAGTCACTGCTAAAGTTTTGTTGTGCCTTCTTGAGCACATGAAGAAAGAAGAAAAAACTACAGCACTTGTCCTGCTCAATATCAACTTCCCTTTTTCCACTATAATATTTTAAGTAACAATTATGCATCAAAAGTAAAGTGAATAATGAATTATAATTGTAAAAATGTCAAACCGTCCCTGTGGTTTGAAGCGTTCTGGGCAGACTGGTATTAACCGCAAACATGAGTCCTGGCTCTGGAGTTGGGCATTATATCAGGAAAGGGAATTCAGGGATTAACAGAAGTGAAACCAAAGCCTGAACTCTGTCCAAACCCACAGAGTGGAAATGGCTGAATGCCCTCGCCAAGGCAGGCTTGGCTACTTCCAAGAGACTGTGGCATTTATCACCTGGACTCACTTCCAGACTGGCGGGCTCTTTGAAACTTGTACTTTCAAAGAACGTTCCATAAAAATCTTTAAATGGAAGTGTGACTTTTTCCATATTGCAGAAATGATGGACTTGGACGTAAAGGAAGGTACCCTTTAAGAGCAATTTTGTACATGATTTCCTTTTTAAATACTATTGTGAGTAGCTTGGTAATGTCTGTGATGCAGAAAATTGTGGCTTTGTGGCTATAGTATTTAATTTCCTTCATTGCATGTTTTTAAAAGTTACTATTGTGATTTCCTACATTTTATGGAGACAATTTGTGTTTTTGTTATTATATATGTGAAATACTCTCGGAAAACTTGGATGATATGATGTTCTGATGGCTCATTTACTTTCATTTAATCAAGGAATTCCATTAGAATTACGTATTCCAGCATATATTACATCCATATTATATATTACATGCTCAGGTATATCAATGCCTCATCTGACAATTGTGCTAGTAATGGAGCTATATAGCAAATGTAAATTAATATTTGACATTAGAAATGTGTTATTGCAAAAATAAATAGTTGTGGTGCGAATAAAAACACAGATAAAGGGCCAAAACATTCATCATCACTGCAAATGTTCTGTATTTCGAATAAAAAGCAATACAAGTGTTACATATCTCGATTCCAGTAAAATATTACTTTATACAAAATTGTTATTCAAAAGAAATGACAGAGTGAATGTGTTTTATTTTCAAGGAAATAAGTAAGACACATACATATGTTGTGATTAGGTAACTTTGGGACATAAAAGATGGCATTATGGCATTTACTGCCTTTGTGACACAATTCTTTACAGACCTCCACAATATTTTATCAAATTGCTCTGGGATCAGGATGGTGCCTGCTTATAAAAGTCTGAGCATTTCACCAGGATTATTTAGCCAGATTCATTGACTACTGTAACGTTTAGTTTATTTATGTTATAAATAGCATGTAAGCACCGTCTCAAAGACCACAGCAACTCTATGAACCTTTGCATGAGCTATGAAACTAGACTGATTTACAGTGCACTATGTGAAGCCACAGACATTTTTCTGTCCTATTGTTTTAGTGGTGAGATTATAAAACAACAACATGTATTTACAGAGTGGTAATGGATTACAGTAACAGCTGGTGTAAAAGGATGTCTGTTTGAATAGTTTCATCTTCAACGCTGACACCAACAGACGGCTTTTCTTGGGTTGCCTCCAAATCTGTAGAAAAAAAGAGAAACATAACTTTTCCTTTCCACAGCAGAACAGTTTATAATTAATATACATGTAACACTTAAGTTTTCAAAAAGTATCGTCGTATTATATACAAGTTTAAGAAAGATGGGTACTGTATAATTGCGCTACACTCACCTTGTAGCGTATCACAGGTCAAACCTCAGTGGATTTTCCAACACTAGTGTTCTGGACCTGTGACATTCATAAAAACATTATTAATTTAATACTAATAACAACAGATTAATCAATGGCATAATAAAACTGACCGAGCATGCAGAAAGAAATAGAATTTTCAGTGTAAGGAGTTTTAAGGAGGGCAGAGAGTTTTTTGAGTGAGTGATTTACTTTGAGGTTGAATTAGTTATTTTGCAGTTAATGTTTTTAACCACATGAACAATGAACAAATCCCTGGTTATGAGCTTTGTACTGCACCTTGTCACAGAGCAGATCCTTGGCCTGGTGTTGTGGTGTGGTCTTTGGCTTGGGGGCAACTGGTGGTTGTTGTTTTTCTGGGGATCCTGCCAGAGCATTTGCTTTGTGGAAGACTGCAGAGGCTTCAGTCCCGGGAGCAACCGCTGCCTCCTTAACAGTGATCATGGAGGCAGAGACCAAGGAGGTGTCCTCCACCTCTCCTCCAATAGCAGAGCGGTAGCTGTGACTGGAACTGCTGAAGCCACTCACGCTCTCTCCGGACGACTCTGAGCTGTCCACTGGAACAAGAGGAGGACTTGATTATACACATGATCAATGGATGGATGAATGGATGGGTGATTCAAAGCTAAAATGTATTAAATGGAAAGCCACGGTTCAAACACTGTGTTGGCAATCAATGTCCTTTCTGACATGTCCTTGGACGCATTTAAAAATAACTGACCCAGACCTCTGACCTCTGACCCTGTTGGAGTGGAATAAAACTGAAAAAAAGACTCGAAAAAAAAATACCCAGCAGCCTCAGTGAAGCTGTTCAGGGGCCATTAATAACACACTGTCAGAGCAATGGGAGGTTCCTGGGTGTACCATTGCATCTAATCTCCGAGTCCATTTGCAATAAATCTTGAGCCACATTTAGGTCATATATGATAGTTTTACACACTCAACTCACACAATAAGTTGTGACTCCCAATCTCGTGGTCCAGGTCGTCCTCTTCCAGAGCTCCAGGAGTTGATACGTATCCTCCAAGGTCCCCACCAACCCCCCTCCGCTTTGGCCTACACATGTATCCCACAGGGGACAGGGAACCTCTTCCAGAGGAAGAGGAGGAAGACGAACTGCATCGTGAACCAACAGATTTTGGACGATCCCCAGAAAGCTTGTCCTGTGAACTTTGTCCTATAGAGAACAACACCCTGTTTTCTGCACAGACCAGGAGAAAATCATGTTTTTGAGAGGGAGCATGACAAGCCAAAGAGTGCTAGAAAGATATCACAATGTTTTCTGACAAAAGGTAATGTAATAATCAACTAAACTTGTTTTACTGGCAGTGTTTGCTCACCTCTTCCCATCAGTACATAGTTGACGGCTCTGTCATTGATAGCTGCATCACTGGGCTTGATGTCCATGAAGGGCTTGTTTCCAATACCCATGAACACTCTCTCCTGCATACGGACCTCTTAAAAAACATGTGAAATCATAGTTTAAAAACATTTTATATTTAAGAAATTCCATTTTCATACAAAAGATTGTTGTCTCTATACTGCATCATGTCTGCTGTTTTTTTCTTTTTCATTACAGACAGTAATCCAAAAGTGAGGACTGTTGCTGTTCATCCCATTATTACCAATATTGAGCCAAATATATTAATATCTTTACACATTGGCAGTACCAATGTTATTATATCATGAACAAACCAGGCTCTGCTGTATTAATTTGCCACTATTTAACTTGACACATGCCAGTGTGTTTATGCATTTTTGTGCATTTGTTGGTACCTCTGTTGTGTATTGCCTGCTCCCACAGGATCCGCTCCAGGTCCTTGGTCCAGGCATCCTTCACCTCCCGGCTGACTGCTTGAAGTGTGTACGTGTCCTGGGTTTTCCTCTTCCTGAACCAGATCTCAAAACACAGCCCGCTGTCACCGCTGTTTTGGGTCATGCCCACATCTGACGTCTAAATTTAAAGAAAGACAAACCGATTATCTAAGACAGTTGTTTAAAATACGGCAATCAGTTTAGCAAGACTTCAATACTATTGTAATTGGACTTTTGGCGTGTTGTGCAGTGTTTTAGAAGGGAAAGTAAAGGACACAATAAAATGAATGTTGTGTGAGTGATGGGCAAAGAATGGATCTCTTAAGCAGACCCACCATCTGGAGTACAGAGAATTTTCACAAATGGGGCCAAAGCAACACGTAAACATTTTCAGCATGTGTACGTGTAAGTTGTAATCTTGTACGAGATTCGTGTGAAAGAGGAAGTGGGAGCGACACTGACGCCTTCTTTTTCTGTTATTGCATAATTATTGCTTATTTTACTGGTATTTCTTGAACACATTTTACATGTGAATTTGGGGTGTGAAGCCATATGTGTACCTTGAATGACTGTTTGTAGATATATGTCTCATTTCCTACGTCCGTCTTCCTGGTTTTGCTAAAGAGAATGAGCTCTTGGAAGAGGAATATGTGGCGTAAACATTTTTTCTTCCTAAATGTAACCAAGAACTCATCCTGGCGTATCAGCTGCCCCTGCTCCTTCAGATTTACCTGCAGAAAGAGATTCTGGGGGTCATGTACTGTCGTCAGCAATAATGAACCAGAAAAAAGAAAGTACTTATTGTAACTGTTCGGTTTAGCGATATAATATTCAAGCAGCCTTAGCTTCTAAATTCTGCTAATGAAGATTTAGTCAAACAAACAGAGTATAATTGCAGATTTAGAATAATTGACTCACATAATTACAGTGAACCATCAATACAAAACGGTATGAACTTTCCTATTATTTCTGACAGAGATCATAAAGTTCATAAGTTAACCAACAAGAATGAATGAATCCAACTCCATTCCTTCTCTCTGCTCCCCAACTAACGGAGCCCCAGACCATCATCCCCCACTCAGCCCCTCCCTTTAAATTCCATGGAAATAAACTATTATCCTTTCCCTGCACTCTTATCATCCATCTCATTCCTTCCATCCACATTACTCATGATTGACCTACGGCATTGCACAAATCAAAATCACAATGATGAATGGTTTCATCACTCCTCCTCTTGCATCATTCTTAATGGCTGTAGTCCTGCCTGTACCCGTTTCTCTACTGTGCATTTCCACATTACAGTAGAGTTTCCAATGGTGTTGCTCAACGCCGAATGAGAGAGTGATAAGTCATTCTTATCACAGTATAGTACACACTACGTCTGCACAGTATACCTGTATATGCATGTACTGTATATAAGACATGGAAATCCAACGTTGTAATAATCTTGCTTGACATTACCAAGAAACAAACTGTCTTACGTCACAGTGGTGGATGGCGTCCATGGCCAGCAGGTTGTTGCCGTGGTGGAGCTGGAAGTGGATGACCTCCAGGGCAGCCTTAACCTCGGCCATCTCTCTGGTTTGTCCGGGGCCACACTCCCTCATCATGTCCTGCAGCAGCAGACTGTACTTACTGATCCGCTGCACGGGCTTCAGCAGGTACGACCACAGGTCCATCTTATCGCCCAGCTTCAGCTGCTTTTGCTGGAGTGTGAGGAGAAGACGGCTAAAGCTATCAGGATAACGTCAAAGCTTGAGTTGGAGAACACGCTAACATTAAGTAGATGGGAAGACATCCATCAAGACTAAAATAATGTTTAGAGATGTGCTGCACATTTATATTCAGTCTTTTCTTTTTATTAGCCGTACTAGGCCCTAGGGTGTCACTGTGAGCATGTTAGCATGCTAATGTTAGGGTTAGTTGAAAGCACTGCTCTTCCTACATACAGCCAAGTTGCTCGCAGACACTGTGAGACACCATTTTCCCTCTTGTTTCAGAAAATATATTATGTGGCTTTGAGATGAGAAAATAAGAGAAGGAAGAGCAACAGGACAAGCAGCGGTTCTCACCTTGAAGAAAGCCTGTCCATGATTGATGAGAAGACTATCAGACTGCGGTTTGTTCTTGCTGTAAAGGGCATACAAAGCAAAGCTCTCTCTCTGAAATAAAAGGGACAAATAAAGACCATTAGTCACTAAAATGCAGACTAAGCAGTGTACCATAGCAGTTCACAGCTGTGTGAGCTATGTACTCCTTATTTTCAATGATTGTGTTCAATGGTATCAACACACGAAAGCAGTTGATTCCATGGAAGCTAAACAGACTTTAGTCTACTGCTGGGAGTCATCTGGAAGGGCGTATGTTGCTTAATCATCCATATTTTGGTTCAAAACAGTAAACTACTCCTTGACATTATGCAGACTCACATCTGCCCAAACCTGGAAACAACAATTACTCAGGTGCACCCTACAGACCGTCAAAGTTAATACTTTTGTGTCATTAATACTCGTGGCACCCACATGTCGTAGGAAACAGCGTCCCGCTCTGACGGGTTCATTCACGCAGCTCTCCAACTCATTCAGGAAATGATGATGGTGGAAGTCGTGGAGTTTTTCTAAGTTGCCGAAGACGCTCCCCCTCTGGCCCCTCAGGTCCTGAGGAACGTCGGGCCTCTCCAGCTCAGAGAAGTAGTGCTCTCGAACATACCCCAGAGCCTTCACATACTCCCTCTCTGTGGACAGCAGCTCCTCCATGATCATCCGCAGTTTCCTGTTCCACACATAGGAAATGAAAATGTGAAATTTATTTAAAGCACATAACTTAACCTAGATGAGTTTGGGATCATACTCAGTTTTACATTAGTTAGTAGAGGGTATGATGCCATTCATGAAAATAACCTATGTCATTTCCTGTAATGTCCTGGACACCCTCTCACTGAGCTTTAGATTACAGCTAAAGAAGAGAGGTATTACTTACAGAACATTGCTGCCATTGTTTTCTGTTGGTGTGAGTAATGTCTCTGGGGTCCTTAAATCGTTAGGGCCCTGGGTGGAGACTGTGCATCCTCCACCCTCCTCTTCATTGCTGCCTCTTTTTGACTCGCAGCTCAGGTTTCCTGACCGTAAACTCTCGTTATGGGAAATGGGCAGATTTTGGACGGGCTGCAGATTTTGTTCCAGTGGCTGTGTTTTGCTCTGACAGTGTTTGTGTCTTACATTCAAAGGTGAAAAGCCAGAGATGATAGTCAAACGAGAGCATACACAAGAGCCCTCGCTCAGGGACCGACCCAAAGGTTGGTGCAATGGAAAATCGGCGCCCCCTTCAACTGAGTGTGTGCTCCTCAGATCTGCCTCACTGTGGTGATCTCTTGGCCTCTGCTTGGTTTCTGGAAAACAGTCAATGTTTTGTGGAAAACAATTTGTAATTTTCTCAGTTTTAACTGCTGCTTCAGATAATTCCTGCACTTGAGATTCTCCTTTCAAGTCAGGTTTTAAATAATGGTTAAAGCATTCCGCAGTGGTGCTTTCTCCCTCACTTTCTGAGATGTTGACTGCCTCTTTCTGAGAGGTCAGCTGCTGGGTCAGGGAGCATTCATCCTCCCCCACCTCACTCCTTTTCTCCTCCTCCTCCATTTCTCCATCTTCCCCTTGAGGGTTTGCAGCTGTGATCTGCAGGATCTGGATCTTATCTACTCCTTTCTCTTTCTTTTGCATCTCCTTCAGACGCTGCCCAACTTCTTGGCACTGGACCCAGGCTGCATTCCACACTCTCATCACCCCCGAGGCCCCTGATCCCACGGCACAGGCCTTAGCTTTCAGAGCCTGGAAGTGTGGGGTGGAGAATTCGCCACCTAATCTTTCTTCATACATCTGCAGTGTTCTCAGGGTCTGAGCTGGGTAACACCCCTGCTCTACCTGCTCCAAAAAATGACTGCATTCCTTGGCCAGGGCAGATGCCTAGAGAGAAAGAAAGATAAAGGAATTTTAAATTTAAAGGTCAACACAAATCAGTTAGAAATCAGTTGACAAAGGGCAAGTAAAGAAAGAGATAGAGTTAAATTACAAATGTCAGATTGGTGAAATTTCCAGAGCAATGACAAAACACAAACCTGTTCACAGAAGCAGTGCACATACATCAGTGTGTCCAGTTCTTTGTGCCTTTGTTCTGCCCGCAACATAAAGTCATCCATATTGGATTTGAAGGTGCTGACCAGAGTACGAAAAACATCTGTTGCAGGACTGGGATCGCTTGTGCCAACAACTGCCTTTGCCTCCATCACTAGGCTCAAGGCGCACTGTTGTTTGTCCTGGAACAAATGATAAGATGTCATGTGGAACTTGTTATTTCCTTCCCCTTTCTCTAATCTACTATTCACTGTTAACAGTGAGGTAATCTTAAATATGTTTCAACTCACAATCAAAGAAAACTAAAGAGACACACATACAGCCAAATAAGGTAGCTTGTCTTATTTTGTTATATGACTTCATTGTTATACCTTAGTCTGAGCGAGAAACACATCAAAGTGCTGCAAGGCCTTTTCAGTGCACACAAGGGTATCGTCTGTTGTGTAAGAGTCCTTCAGTCTCTGTTCGCCTTCTGCATTAAACCACATCCCAGCCTGCAAAGCGTAATTTAGAACCGAGTGTCATACAAGGGTCTTACTTTTGAGATAGACAAAATAATGAAAGTGTTCGAAAGCAGACAGACTTCTATCTTCCTGTTGAAAATTACCGTGCTAACTTTGCCCTCCATCTCTCTGAGCCTGAAGAGGAACTCGAGGTGCTGCAGTGACTCATTTGATCTCATCACCAGAATGTGGAGCTTCTCCTCCACCTGGTTGTACAGACTTGTCACTGACTCCAGAGCATCTCTGCAAGGACGAGATAACAAAGTCACCCAGGCAAATCATAAACCACATGAATTGCATTGTAAGGTAGCATTAGAACTTCCTTATGGGTGTAAATGCACCATTGTTAAGTCGGCGATACGTGACATTATGATTTTACTACACATACTGTACCTACACATGTCCACTTGCTTGTTGTTTGGATACATTGTGGTGCAATACTGCTAATTACAAAAAATACCAATATAAATACTGTGTGTCTATTATAATAATCTGTAAATATTTAGGCATAAAAACATAGATTAATAAATTAATATTAAAACTGGAGTTTCCCGTAGATTCAGAGGAGACTGCTGCTCAACCACTGTACACCCACTGGGGATGTCTCATTATCCACACACCCACACCAAACATACTTTATCTCTGTTGTTGTTTAATGCCACATTTAGCTTTGAGTGGAGGGAGGAGGAGGTCACGCATACAGATTTCAACGGAAAAAAATGCTCGCTATGCAGATTGGCCTCAGGCAGTGTTTATTATACTATTAGTATTAAAGAGTCAATTTCTATTAAATGTTGAAGCTGGTCAAGTAGACCAAATTCAAACTACTTTTTAAACAGTTTGGTAGTTTATTCAATAATAATGAGCATAAATTATGTTTGAAAACTCGTAAAGCCCCTGCACTGCACACCCATAGTCCACTCACACAGGTGTTTTCACTTATGATGCCAACAGTGTAGGCGTGTACAAACTGCATTTGATGGACAGCTCCCTTTCCCATCTGTTGGTTTTGTTGTACTTGTTAGGGTTGAATACCTTAGGCTAATACTCTTAGTTAGTACATGTTACATAGTCATGTGACAGCACGTAATACCCAGCATAAATCCACCCAACTAACACCTAATTAGAGGTGGTGGTTAGGAAAGTTAAATACTACTAAATAAGTGTTTAGTTTAAGATAATACAATTAATCAGTGTAGATGCAAGAAAATGCAGGTGAAATGGTATTTAAACGCTGAGAAATGTTGCTGTGATGTATTGGATTGGGACAAGAAGGAGAACATAGGTAGATTTAGATATTATCTGATACCTGTAGTCCTCAGACTGTGGAAATCTGAACTCCTCTCTCCTCATTCTGGCAAGAATGGCCCCTCCTTCTCTTTGCAGAGTAACCAGTCGAGTGTCTTCCAGCACCTCTTTCATTGCGGCCTTCTGTTCCTGAATGCATTGCTGCACATCCTGCAGCAGCCACGGCAAAAGCAAAGTCAACACGTCTGCCCTGCTTCAGAATGTGCGGTGCACCAATCATATAACGTCACACCGTGAACATGTATATTCTACCTCGGCAGAGTCTGTCTTCTTGCTGCCATCCACTTTCTTGATGGCCTTCTGCAACAAGCTGTCTGCCCCTTGCAGCTCAACCAAGAAGGAAACCAGTCTCTGAAATGAATTAAAGTTAAAGACTTAGTGGGAGTTCAACAATGATACATCGTGATGAACCCAAGAGCTTTCAGTTGAAGAAACACTACATTTCTGCTGCCTACAGAGAGCACCACTCAGCATGCTGAGACTGGAACAGCTGCTGTACATAACAAACTGCTGCTTCCCTCTGACCTGCAGTTTAATGCCCTAATGTGCAAAAAAGTTAGAGAAAATACATACAGACTCTGAGTCTGTAATAAAGTTTTGATTCGATTTGACATCCTCATATCATTTGCAGTCAAATGATGCCTACATATTCCTATTACATTCTGCTGTATATTTCGTATGACCGTTATTGTCATATAATAAACTTTACTGATCAGTGTTGCATGACCAGCATAACATATCTTCTTAACGGTCATAATGAATAATCAAATGTATCATTTAGATACGGATCTGCACTTTGTATGCGTGACCTCCTCCTCCCTCCACTCAAAGCTAAATGTGGCATTAAACAACAACAGAGATAAAGTATGTTTGGTGTGGGTGTGTGGATAATGAGACATCCCCAGTGGGTGTACAGTGGTTGAGCAGCAGTCTCCTCTGAATCTACGGGAAACTCCAGTTTATCAAAGTCACTGTGGGACGTGAGTGAATATTCGGTACCTGATGGAACTGCAGCCAGTCGGTATGACTGTAAGTAAAGGTGCCTCCCAGGTCAGAGGTCAGCTGAGAAGCTTCAACTGTCTTGTTTAGGGCTTTCATAGAAGTCACCATGTCCATCTTATGGACAAACACAAAGACAAGGTTAGGCAGGAAGGACAAGTACCACTCATCTCGAGCGCAAATCAAGGGAGCAAAGGAAAACATGGAAACTGATTTCATTCCTGACCTGTAACCCCGGCTGTTTTTCAGGTCGAGGACAAGTGTCTTTTTCCACCAGCATCACGATACTGTGGACAGCATGGAGAGCTTGCTCCTGTAGCAGATAGTCAGTACGTTAAAAATGTCCTGCACTTTAATAAATAAGATGCAATAGTTCCTCTGATCATTTAGATATGAGATGGCTGATCATCACAGTAAAACAACAACTGCACTCTATCACTGACCTTCTTTCACAATTGACAAGAATTTGTGCAATAGGCCTACAGTTTGTGTTACTGCGTCTTTGATAAAAACAGAGATTGGGCCTCCCGGTGCATTTCTTTACTGCTAACAAATCAGAAACTTGCACAAACTTGAAATTAACTTGTGTTGCTCAGTATTTGTGTAATGCATATTCAAACACACAATGACAAACCCATCAGTTTCCTAATCAGTGAATCAAGGAATTTGAGATCTTCCAGCATCTGATGACTAGATGTGTGAGGGGTTTAGTGGGTGAGTGAGATCTTGAGCATGCAGGTTTGTTGTTTTAACCTGGGCCATCAGCAGAGCTTTGTAGAGGTGAAGTGAAGGAGACTTCTTCCTGGCATTGATGACCAAAGTCATTCCCAGCTCTCGAACTTCTTTCCTACAAAAACATTGGATCATGTTAGGGCACATTCAAACATTATGACCTCATCACGGTGGTCTCTATTTGATAAGAGGCTTTTAGGCTTATTTACTTATTCCACTTCTCAAATCTCTATTTATCTTTTTATCTCTCTCTGACACACACACACACACACACACACTCTTCTTCACGCATACTATTCCACACGTTGACACCTCAACACATCCATCTTAATGGCCTCTTCTTGGGTTACAGCTGTGTGAGCCAACAGAAGACATGGCTGCTAATTCTAGCAAGGCGCTGCATACCAAACAGTTGGCAGCCAGCCTGGCCAGAGACTGATGTGGTGTGTCTCTCTAGTGGGGACAGAGGAAGGCCAAGCTATCTAGTAGAATGGCTTTTTGAACTTCAAAGACTCCGTTGAACCCGGTGTAAACAAAAAGCACCTTTAAAGTGATCACTAGTAAACCTGTCAGTGGGAGTATTGACACTGCTTTGGCAGAGGGTCAGCACAGGTCAATGTTACATGCCAGCTAATCTTACAGTACTACATATAACTCAGAAATATTCAGAGATACTGCCTAAAATATAGTGTTTTCTTCGTGGTAAAACAGCCGTTATACAAAGGGTTGACCCATAAGGGAGAGTCTGGATGTAAGAGCATGCATCATATTATTCAAAGCCTGCAATGGACACTTGAGATATTCATATGGTATCTGTTGCCCTCTTGTGGTCAGACCTTTTGTTACACGCCATCATACATTGGAGATTCCCAATAAGCTAACAACTACAGATTTTCTCTGCTGAGCAACTGAGGAGCTGACCAACCAATACTGGCCCTCTCAATTGCAAATGATCAGTCTTTTTTGGGACAGAGATATCTAATAGTCATTGTTTTCAGTACCTTGGTATGGAGTGTAAGTAGAGCAGTAGTTCACAGACACTCTGGACTGACACGAGAGAGGATGTCCACTCCTTTCTGCCACCATGGACCTCAACGACTGCCCTGCCTGTCCTGTCCCTGCTGCCTAAGGGTAGGGCAGAACAAAAGGTTAGGGATGTATCATCTGTTTTTTCAAAAATGTGCAAAGAGTGACTGTAAGTAAATGTTTTAATGGCAAATGCTGTGAGAGTAGAGAAGAACATGATTTTGAGAGTGAATTTTTGAGATGAAGAAATCATACAGACGACGTTATTACCTGGCAAACAAATAATTCCCAGTTCAAGCATCCCACCAATGCCTCTGTAACCTGATTCCTCGGTTTGTGGAGGCTGTGGAGCGTCAGAACTTGCAGATAGAAGTTGAACTTGTGCAGGATATGGCTTTTCTATCTTTGAGTTATGGAGTTTAGAGTCTGATCCATCTGCGGTGGAGGGAGTTTCACTCCTACTTGACTGGGAGTCTGCATGACAGTACACACAAACATAATTATATTCACACACAAAAAAGCATAGAAAAACAAATAAATTATACAAAAGTACAAAGTATATTGCAAGAACAAGTGTGTGTATTTTGTTTCTCATAACTTTAAAAAAAATGTTATTTAATCCATCACACTCAGACAATATTTCTTAGTGTATAAACGATCAACTTTTGTCAACTTTCTATTCTGTCCGACAACCTTTTCCCTTTTATACTAACAGTAATTATTCTGTGCTTCATTCATAAATCTAAACAGTCCTCCTTCAACATGGACCCAGCTGCACAGCTGTGTAGAGACCACCTTTAAACATTGGACATGGTCTCAGTAACAAAACACTGCAGTGGCCTGGCTACTAAGTCTGGCTTTGATTTCAGACATCCTAATTGGCTTCTCCTTAGGGCCAACAAAGCCTCGCCTGTGTTCTCTCTCTTTGCTGATTTAATAGTCTATGACAAGCATGTCTCCAGTCAAGATCTCAACATGCCCCTGTGAGGGCATGAGGGTGTATGCCAGCGGGTGCAGGGGACACAGAAACCTCCTTCTTGCATGTCATGCTGTCTCTCTGCATTAGAGGAATGCTCTGCTCTTTCTTTTTGGGTTCAGGCTCTCCCTTTCATTGGGGTGCAGCATGCTATTTCCGTTCACTCCCTCGGTAATGGGGAATAACGTGAATGTAGCCAAAGCACCCAGACAGCAGTGGGAGAAGACCGTACTCTAGCCCGATCTTCGACCCTGTGAACCTTCTTTGTGAAGAGCCTTTATGATCTCGGTGGAGCGCATTCCCTCAAGCACGCGAGGTCACGGTCGAGTTTCAATCAGTCTGTTTGGTGTGAATGTTCAGTGGCCCTTCAAGCACTGAGCAACAGATCATAACAGACGGCTTTATGTGCAGTAATAACAAAGTACAAACTTTGTGCGTGGAGATTAAAATAAAAAAGAGGAGAGAAAAGAGAATGAAAGTAGTCTGAACGTTCAGCCTTACTCGCTTACCTTTTTTAAGGGACTTCAGTCTTTCCAGCTTTAAAGTCACCTGATCCAAAAGATCAGCTTTCTTACACTGCATTATGCTGGTGATTGTTTCAGGGCAGATATCACTGTGGCTCCTGTTGTTGACTTTATAGAGAAGTGGACTCCCTTTAGAAGTCTCTGACACAGTGGACAGAGACCTAACTTTGACTTTGTGTTTCCCTGATGGTTCCACAACCTCCACCTTCTGTGGTGGTTTAATGTCGCCATCTGAACCTGCATGCACACCAGCATTTTGTCCTGATTGGTGGGAAATAAGTTTCATCTGAACCTTGTGACTCTGGCTCAAACCAGGCGTTGATTTCAAAATCATCGGTGATTCCTTCATGAGATTTTCTGACTCAGAACTCGTAGGAAGGTCTTTGAGGTGAGATACGAAGCTTTCCGGTGTCGGTTCACAGCAGTGTCTGTATTGGCAGAGCTCGTTTCTTATCACAGGTTTATTACAGTGGTTACAAAAGTTTCCAAGTTTGTCTTTTTGAGCTTCAAATGCACCCTTGGCTCTTGACTCTCCGTCCTCACAAAGGGCGACCTCCTCCAGGGCAATCAGGTGGTCTGCACTGCCCCTCTCAAAAGCGACTGGGTTTCTCAGTGCTGCCACGTACGAGTCTCTGTACCTACACTTCAAGTCTTGATCAGTGGAATCATGCACCATCTGGCTGCATGGTGTACAAGGCTCCTCTGCAAACTGAAGGGTGCGTCCACAGGGAACACTATTCCCAAGTGGTACCGGTGGCGGTGGTCTGACGGGTTTGAACAAAACTGAATTAGGTGGATGCGGATGGCTGCTTCTCTGTTTATCCACAAACTCCTTGCCTGCGGCAATATCCACCAGCTCTACATAATCACCCTCAATCTCCCGATAGTTACGACTGTCCCAGGTATTAGGAGAAACCCAACCAACAGGTTTGATTAAAGGTCTGGAGCATGATTTGGAGGTTCGTCTTTCATGATCCATTTTGACAAGTTTAGAGGAGTAGTCCACAGATCTCAAAGATGCTGGCATTCTGTCTTTTGCAGGACCTAAAATGGCTTCCATCGGCAGGGTGGAGGAGTTAAAACGGGAGGGGACTGAGATCTGTTTTGGCTCGGGAGGAGCTTCCCGATAAGTAGGCATGATCTTGGGCTTGTTTAAAAACTCTGGGATGGCAATTTTAGCCCAGGGCAACTTGATTACTCCTTGATCTGTGCAAAGCAAGCAGCGTGACAGAGGTGTCCCTTGGCGCCCTTCATTGATGCCCTGCAGCCATTCCTCAGTGAAGATGCAAGGGTAGGAAGTCTCAGGGACGGGTGTCTCCTCCACTTCTCGACAACCCTCCTCCAGAAGACTTTTGAGGACAACGCGAGCCGCTTGGTCCCCGAAAGGCTCCACCTGTAGATAGAAGTCTCCGGGACGCAGCAGCAAAGGGTTCACGGGTGCTAACTGGATGACGGTTTTGTCATGGAGACACAGAGGCCAGCCCTCACAGCGGAAAACCACATCAGAGTATCCAGCCTAGAAATAAAAGAAAGTTTTCAGTGTCATTTTGGTTACATTTGCTCTACTTTCTCAATGTTTCATTGATGCATTTGTTTCTAATTCTCAGTAATCTGTAAACATTTATCTGAAGATACTGTTAAATTAGATTTATTACCAGTATAATTTGAAACATGTATGATTTCAGGGACATTTAAAACAGCACATCAAGAGCTGAGTTATCTCACTTGCATTTCTGTATAAACTGTAGTATACTGCACAAACAATCTACACAAGCTAAACTGTATATCTTATAAAAGTACCATGGTTTCATATAAACATTATGTATGGAATGCACACAGCTAACCCACCACCCCAAACTGTATATTAATGGATAGAGGCGAGTGTCAGTGCTTCAGTATAAGAACAATGTCAAATTTAGCAATTAAAAAATATATATATTGATATGAAAAAAAGTTAACGTTAATGTATTGCAAGTCCCTCTCGTTATTCTTTGTCTAAGTCCTATTTGGGGGATAATAATGCCTGTTTTGGAACGACACAATTTTGGATCGTGTGAAAAGTAAACAGGAATGGCGTCAGCACGGAGTTAGTGAGATGCGCTGTGAGCTACTGCTTGAGCCCCCTTTCTGTTTTTTTTAGCCTATAATTGATTACATTTGGCAAATTGTCACCATTAAAGGTATGCCGAATAATCTATAAGCGTAGTCACCCTTAGATGTACAGACAATTATCACTGGATTACTTTGATGCTGAAGAAAACTTAAAAGCGCAATGATTGTAATGGAAGTTCTGTAGCATTTTCTTACTGGGATTTGCAAGCGAACATGCACGTTTATTTGTGATGGACATAAAAAAGTGATCTCTCGAAAGCGTAAGTCACACCTAATCTACATATATCATGATTAATGTCTGTGTGTTTTGTTATTGCAACATATTAGCGAAGAGGAAAAACAGCACGAGTTCAGATGTATCCACGAGTTCATATGTAATACTCACACATGCTGCCTGTTGGACACTCTCCAGTAAGTGTTTGGATGGGATGAGGAAGTCCAGCAGACAGTGTAACGCATCGCCGTGGTAACGTTCCTCAATGGTGCGAAACAGCTGGCTGAGTACGACGGGTGCTGTGGCATCGAAAGGTGGGAAGAGGGCCGAGAGCGCACCCTGGATGGACGAGTCGAGAGATTCTGGGTTCTGGAGGACAAGAAGAGGTGCAGGTCAGTGACGTGAGGTCTGTGTAATAACATTATTCTGTATAAAGACTGTGGAAAAAAATACTAGCCTCAACAAAACACTAAAAAAGACTATACATCAAAGGAAAGGACATTAGTTGATGATACAGTTTTACAAAGTGTTCCTTTCTGAGGATGAAATCATTTTAATTTGTGTTATTATTTTGCATCTAAAAGCCACAGCAACTCCAAACTCTAAAACTAGGATTGCAGAGATTAAAAAATATATAAATGAATAAAAAAACCATTAACTCATAGGACCCTAGCCCTATTTTTAGGCCTCTGCTCGAAAATTGCATAGCCATACTCAAGAGAGTCCCGAGCTCTAACTACAAGGTCTATTTTAAAAATTTTGATGCTAGAATACTGGTAACACTTGTGAGATGTGTTGAATTGTGTAAATATTGTGTATATGTTACTGGTTAATAACTGATACACTTATGGCACAGCTCAAATTGGAAAAATTTCTAGGTTCGCCTGAAAAAAAGCACTTTTATTGAACATTTTTTTTTAAATAATGCAGCTGCAAGCCTAAAACCACGCCACAGTCATAGAACAACACGTTTTACATGTCCCCACAACATATTTTACTTCGATTGAGTGAAGCAGGCCAGCATAAATGGTCATAAAAATCAAAATTTAGATTTTCGGAACCAGCTGTTACATTGCTGTATACTAATTGTATATACTATATAACTAAATATTAACTATATATTCACTTTTCTTATCACTAAGTGTTCAATAATCCTAATAAATCAGTTTGACACCATTTTGAATAATTTTGAGCAGTTATGATGTGTCATATCTGTCATTCATAACAATAAATGACTCATAATGTGTGTCTATGTGACTTTGGTAAGGCCGATTTACTCGTGTGAGACATTTTTAGATGCGGGATAGTCCAACGGGAGCCATGCAGGGGTGTTTGATCGTATCCGGGTCTGTTTACTGACTAAAAATCGCAAAATGCTGGCCGAACCCCCCTCTCTACATGGATTGCTCCACCCCACAGAATCGTCTGCCATTTTGTGATTCATTCCGCCAGCGCATTGATCTCACTCACAGACATGCAGCAGAACATGGCGGGCAGAGCTGTGCAAAAATCGGCTCGAATAAATCCGTTTTTCATCGCCAAAACCGTCAAAACGTAAGTTTTTTTTTACCCAATTATTTTTCTCGTGACCTGCGGCTGATGTTGGCATGCATACCCATAACTTTTGAACGGTTTGAAAGAGAGTAATTTGGACGCCGCTGTGCGTTTCCGGGTCGAATCGTGCCCCTCCTGCATGTGTTCATCCGCTATGTGCGATCCTGCTCCGTGATGAGAGAGCCATAGAGTGAGCATAGGTCGTCGATTTTTGGCCGAAATTGTGGCAAATCTTCTAGATATCTTCCAGATATGATATTAGTTCATGTATAATTGTGTTTGCAGTGTTTACAATGGCTGGTATGATGATGTTGCTCGGACTTTTCCCATTAATTCGATAATTAATATGTCTGGAGCAATAATCATATTTCTTTATGAAAAATGCTTTCTACAACACGCTGAATGCTGCACACTCTAAAACAGCCCACCGTGGGGGGCTCTCGGCTCCTACGACAATATGCAGTGCATATAATGAAGGCTTAGCAGGATGTCAATGCCAGTGCATGAATAAAGGAGTGGTGTTATCTGCACATTCTTCTCAAATGAGAATTGCATTGACCTGTCAACCAAAGCACATGAATCATACAACATTTAATTCGGGCCCAATAAATCACCCGTTACAGACTGTCTCGTCTCATAATGATTAAAAAAGTTGCCCTCAAACAGAACTCCTGGCATTGCAGTTATTAAATACTATTAAATGTTGTTTCAATCTTAATACAATAGCCTTTTTCATGTCATGTACTCTGCGAGTTTGGGTCAAATGCATATGAAAATTAGTACCCTTGGTGTGAAATATGGACTGAGAATTTCAAAAGTAGATGTCTATTCTAACACTGCTATATTTGAAGAAGGTCGACATGCCAAGACCGAATGCTCTGCAAATGCGGAATGACAGGACAAATGTTTTTTCTTGGCCTTTTAACCCTGGGTGTGGTTGTTTGGAATCCCTCAAGGAGTTTTGGGCTTCAAAGTTAGGAAGAAAAAAAAAAAAGAAAAAATGTTATGATGGTAAATTATCATCACCCTCACAGAGGGGTATTTTGGTTGAGCCTAATAAAAGGTTCTCAACTTATCTGGAGATGATTAAGTCTGTGCTGCATGAGTCTATGCAACTTGTTTCATGACTGGCCCGGATTTGCTTCATTTAAACTGGTGTGTTTGCAGAAGACCAGCAGGCCTAAGAAATGCACAGTCCTGTCAAAAATGCACATAAAGAAGCAACAGCGTGAATTTATGGCACCAAGAAGCACACTTGGTGTTTGTGTTCACTGCATGTACAAATGTCTGCATTGGACACACAGAAACATTTCAGATGAAAAGAAGCCATCTAACCGACCCGGCCGCATGAATTTGAGGTGGTGATGTTTTGAGACGTGAGGGCTGTCAACATAGATTTGTAAAACAGCCAAGCATTTAATGCAATGCTGAGCACTGTGAATACTATACTTTTGAATGTAATGAAAAGAGTTGAAAATAAGGACTTGACGCTCACTCTGGATCAGGACAGGTCTAAGCCGCTAACCACAGCAGGCGTGCTATTCATACAATCAGTTCTTAGTACCCTGCTGTGTCAATCACCCAGCCCCACAAAGGACTCCGTTTTCAGCCCCCCTCCTCATTTAGCTTGATGGCCGGACCGAGACCAGAGACCAGCCCAGGGTAAACACAAGTGCAGCAGCTTCAAAGACCTCACACTGGTTAGCACTGGGACTGTGCTGACTGCTTGGCTAGTGGATGCTTATGTGAGCACCTTAGACAGTCTTGACACATCAGAGAACAAAGCTCATAAAGTTGTTTCATGTTTCACCGAATAATTCAGTAAATCATTCAACTTTGTGTGACTCAACTTAGTGTTGCGTTCCCTGTTCGCTAAATCCTTGGTGTTGTGCGTTTAGATACGAGGTGGTGTTCCTTCAAATGAAGTGTACAGCATTAAATGTGGGGCTGTTCGGTGTAAATCAATGTCAATATTTGACCACTTACAGTATGCTAAGTCCTTGTATCTCTTGGAGACATTTCATGTCCTCAGTGGAGAAGAATGCTTCCTTTTTTTTCTGATCGTGCACATCTGTCACTATAGATTAGGAAATGGAGAACAGAATACCTTCGAGGCTGGCTCTTGAAGGGTAATGCATCACAGCTGTTTTAGACTGACTGCAGCCATTCAACTTTGGGTTCTACTATTTTTCTCAAAGCTAAAGATAAACCAGAGGTCATATCTCATACAACACGGCTCTGGGAACGTCAACCGGGACCAACCGACAGGACGACAGGGCTCGGACGTTTAATTTCCCTTTGTGTACGTTTTATTTGAATAAATGGAGTTTGGCTGATATAGACTTTTAAAATTTCATCGAGCATTCCAAAAAATTATGAGAACGTGTTCACTCTTCTGTAGCCGGGCCTTTAATCCATCCGTCACTGAAATCCAACCCTAAACGAAAATACGAGTGACTTATTATCACAACATTATTTCAAAATCATTTGAGATGAAACCTCTTTTTGCTAACACTCTGAAATGACAAACACTTATGCCTGGATAAACATCTTCTTAAAACAAAAAGAGGCTCTCTCTCTCTCTGTGGGTGGTTTGGCTAGCGATATATATGAGTGAGATCCTCTTGAGTTCTTACAAAGCATTGCTCAGCTTGGACCCAGTTCAATCCGGCTAGCAAGTCAGTCAAATGAACCGAGGGGTAGGGAGGGTAAGCTGCCGGTGTTGTGAGTTCTTCTGTATCTCATTACATTTGCCAAACAGACAACATGCCAAACAGGCCCGAACTGTGAAAGATTCAGCAGGAATTCTTCTGAGACAAAGCAAAGTAGGAGCTGTCCTTTTGGTATTTGAATGCATTCATTGATTAATGCATAATATAATATATAATAATAGAAAACTAAACTGGTTAAAACAGTTGGCCACATACTTGCACAATTCAGTGAGCAAGCAATTTCGGATCAGAAAAAGAACATATCAGGAACTTTTTCAACTTTTTATTCACAACCTCTCTGGGCGATACAGAATACATGTGACACCGTGACATCTGCTGCTGTTACGTTAAAAATACACATTGAAAACTCAGTTACTTTATCTTCTCTAGTCCTCATGATGTAGTTTTCTCTCATTCTTTTTGTTGTACGGATCATTATTGACTCACGTGACCTTTCGTTTCTCAAGATGTGTGTTTGTGACCTCCCAAGTAGTCGTGCCACAAGAAAGAGTGATGTCAAGGTGTACCCTCTATAAATGCCAGGCATACACCTGAGGTTCTGAGATGTATGCTGCAGTTTCCTGGTCTTTCCATGCAGTCTCATTTTGGCTGAACACACCCATAGTAATGTATAATCTCTGCTGTGTTATCTGCACCCCAACCATTCCTTTTGTGTTTTTAACAGCTCCTCCCATTACAAAAAAAACCCTGGTTAACAGTGATTTGTTCAGTCCTGAGTGAGCACCCAGACACAAACAGTTCCCTACATCCTTATGATAACACAATTCTTCACTGTATATCAGTGCACAGTGTCTAGCTCTGGTTTCCTTATGCTGACAGAAACGGAGTTGCTACTTCATTTTGCGAAGTATTTTTACTCCCACAATCAGCCAGCGAGCAACATTCAATCAAACTTAAATCCCGAACTTTTATCTTGGCCTGCAGAGACAGTGGGGTTTGATCGATGTCCAGCTGACAACCACATTCCACCGCCGCCTCCTCTACACATTCAGCACAAGGGGATTCCCTCTCTGCCCATTATTGTCCAGTGCAGCCTTTGATTCAACTCTTAAGAGCTTCAGTCTCCAACAAAGATCATTGTTTGACCTAAATTGGCATGCTAGTCTGGACAACAGGCTTCTTTCTTTGTCTTATCCACCCTTTGGGCCCCCTGGGAGTTTTTGCAGTGTTGAGTATTAAGCACATAATTACAGGTTTCCTCCATATTGCCTTGGGCTTTGGCCAAAGAAAGTCAGGACCGAGGTTTGAGCCACAGTGTAAACAAGCTGTCAATGTGTGTAATGCACAATGTCTATCTGTGTCATCTGCCACAAAGGCTCAACAGATTAGAGTAGGTAAAATGACCAGAATGTGATTTTAAAGAAGATTACCTTCAACTAAATGGACTCGGCTCCTCATGAAACAAGCTCTGTCTTGACTGGTCATCACAGTTGTGTTTAAATCCTCATACGAAATTGACTGTCTCTGAACCTCGGGGCTAAACCCAAAACATAAGCAGAATTCTGCATGAACGGACATGCAGATATGTCCAAGAGTCTCGGATGACACACCACCAACTCAGCCATAATGCCAGCCATGAACTCAGCCAATCACAGCGTGGGCACAAAGGGCCGATGGGTTAGCAGCTAGTTTCATGCTCAAAAACCTAAAAGTGGGAAGATGCTGAGTCTTGGAGCAATCAGTCATATGCTAATCAAAACATATAACTAGTATCTCTCAGTGATTCCCTATCTTTCTCCTCCTTAAACATTTGGTATCTCCTATTTAGCAGTGAGACAGTGCTGTCTTTGTGTGTGATCCACTCTTGTTAAACTCAGCAGAGGGGAAATCCATTCAGCTAAGCCATCTTAAATACTTGGAACCAGTAAAAAAAAAAGCCTGTTCAAGACAAAACCTCTACATCATTTCTTAGAGCTGCCAGGAGTAAACATGGTGTCTGTGTGTGTTCCCTAGCAGACCTTTAATATGGCATAGTTCCTATTATTTATTTATTTTGTAGTTTTGAAGAACTCAAGCTATATTTGTAAAGTGAAGAGGCCGCATGATAGTGTGTCTGGTTTCTGGTTTGGCCTGTTTTTTCTCATCACATGACATCAACCGGATGAGCTGAGATTTGATTTCACAAGTGACTCATTAATCCACCCTGAAACTGTAAATGATGCACAAAGACTGTCAGACCTACACTGCTGATAACCAAGTGTGTCTTAATCCGATATAAATCACTGCTGTCATCTGTTTTGGAATCGAGAACTGACTCACAGACACATTTAAAGATCAGTGCTCTGAAACAATGTCTGCATCTGTTTTGGGCGCACTTAACAACAAAAAGAGAGATTAAATCCTTTCTGTCATGCCAGGTCAGCATATTTTTAAAAACTACCACAGGATCAGACAGGTGTATGGTTTGAAAAAAATGTTGCCCAATGTCTGATGAAGTGATTGGCAAAGAAGTGCAGCTGGGTGTGTAAAACCTTGGAAGTCTTCCCCAAAAGATAAAAAGTTCCCCATGTACATTTAAAAACAAAAACTTACATGTAACAACTGAAAATTTCACATGTTGCCCTTTTTTTTTTTTTTCTGTAATGTCCATGACTGATTCATAATGAACCGCTCCCATAAAGCATAACAAAACATATTTCCCAACGCTTGCATTCTGGCAAAAATACAATCCGGAGACTGCAACACACCGTAATAGTTCACATTGTTCATCTCAAAATGTTAAAATAGCCAAGAAATTAGAAAGGGTTAATAATACAAGTAAAGGACGGCCTTGTAAAATCCATTAAACCCTAACACAAGGGATTTGTTAGTTGGTCAGCATGTGAGTGTGTTTATAAGGAGTGTACTAAACACTGACATCTGTTGCTCTTCGTCCTTGAGCTTTGCAAACATCCGAGCACAGCAGTCTACATGGGAAACGAACTCAAGGTCTTATCCTTCAGTAAATGTTGTCTCGTCGTACAGCGAGTCACCTCAGATTTGCCAGTTTGAAGTCGTTGAGCCGGTTTTGAATTTAAGCAAGCAAAAACTTCAGACTGATGTATCATGATCACTGAACTGAGCTACAACACAACTGTTATCTTCTATCTTCTATCTTCCTAAAAGTGCAACCAGAGGAGCAACAACAACAGTGACTTTCAAACACAGTCTGGGGAGGAAATAACATTGCAGCAGTGACTGTTTCTAGAGACAATGCATGCTGAAAATTGACTCATAGCCAGCCGATAGCTGCACCGACATTTTTCCCCAAACACTCGCCAGCAGCTCTGTTTTGAAAACAGACTGCACAGCCTCTCTTGAGATTGACCCACTTTTGTGATACAGAGATAATAAACACACTGAAAAATATGGTTCAGAGCTCCGTTACAACTCTCAGAAACTCGACACTTTGATTGAAGCAAGATTTAAATAATTCGGCTCAAACAGCTCCATGGGACAGATGTCTGCAATTATACATATTTTCTCTATAAATCACATCGGTTCATTTTTTTGAATTTCCCTGTCTGCCTCTGTTGAAATTTGGCAAAATCACAATGAGTGAAGCAGAGGGCAGGAATTATTATCTGTCTCCCAAAGGGAGCACAGAAGATAGTATTGTAAAGATACTTGTTACAGGCAGGGGATGGAGCTACTGATGGCTGTTGCGAGAGACAGAGAGCATTTGTGATCCTTTAAAGCTAGGCCAGTACGTATGAAAATCTGGATACCCTACCACAGCATGTCCACAGTGTTTCTAACAGTTAATCAAGGTATATGCATGTATACTCTAAGCTAAGCGGTTGAAGAAATGCACTGTGACGGATGAGTATATCTGACTAATGATGTGAAGCAGGCATGTGTTGATCTGTGAGAGTCTGAGACTGTTCATGTCGGTAATCAAGAGACTTAAAGCTGCTGTAAGAAATATCGTTCTGTAAACAATGAGTCAAATGAATACGTGTGTGAGAGATGGTTGCTTGTTATCACAAACTCAGAGAATTATCCCCCGACTGCAGTTTTCCTCGACTCTACTGAGCATTTTTGCATCTTTCAGCTCATTGTTTTGGTTTCACGCTCACAAAATGACATTAGCATTACTAGATGCAGCTAGCATGTAGTTTATTAGCAAAAAGCTCAACCAAATACCAAACTGCAAACAGGCAAAGTTAGCAACAAGCTTGTGAACACAGTGGAGACTTTAAATATTCTTTATCCAAGGGGTTAGTAAAGAACAAGAACAGTGAATACGGGACTTATATTCATCAGATGGCCACAAGCACCAGATGAATGCTAATATTACTCTGCGTCTGCTGGATGTGTAGGCAAAACCAATTAATGCAGGTTTAAAAAGATCATCTCCTTTTTATGAATTCAGAAAAACAATCTAATATACGAGTTTTGTCTTTGAGAGATATACCATTTTGAGTGAATCACAGAAAACCCCGCTGAGCTCAAACTAAACATGTTTTGGTGCGACGAGAGAACATCCAAAACCCAGGAGCAACAGGCTTTCATGATTTGCATTAACTTTGAATATACTTTGAATTCTGCAACTGACACTTTTACTGCAAATACATGTTTACTGTACAATGAATGAAACACATGCTGCAGTAAGGCCTTAAGAAGAAAGTGCTTGACCTTGCTGGTGAATGAATGACTCTTGGCTATCCTTGTCACACAGTCACTCCTGTAAAGGTAAATACAACTCACACCAACAAGCCAGGGCTCTGGGTTATGTATCACTGCTGAGTGTTTACCCAAGATTGAAGCTCCTGGTCACGCACGGGTGCAGTAATCTAATAATTTAGACTCCGCTAAGCTCATGACTGTAAGTTGGAGGGTGGTTACGGAAGACAACATCAGTCATGCAATAAGTAAAACAAACAGAGGGGGCTGTAAAAGCTGGTCAAACAAGTGCCGCAGTGCATGTGAAGGGGGGACAGTGGTGGCCACAATGAGCAGCCAAGTCTTGAAAGCTATCATTTATCTGGCATACTTCGACAGATGTTAGGGGTCTGACTGCTTTCCATATAAAGATAGAAATTACACTGAATGAATAGAAAGCTGATAGGAGAAGCAAAATATGCAACATTGTGATCTTTATCGAACCCTAACTCTTTATCTGCATTTATCCAACAAACCCATCACCAAACATGTTTCCGTCTTGTGGCTCACTCTTTGTCATTAATTAGTTTCTGTTGTGACCGTAAACAGCCCTGTGGTTTGAATTTATTAAAGTGCCCAACACTGAATTGGAGAAATGCATTATGGGCCCATGCAAAGCAGTCAAATATTTTATACTCCAAAACACTCCCCACTCACTGAAGAATGTGTCCCATCCGAATCAATTAAGTCCTAATCAAAGGACTGAAAGATGCAAAACAAGAGACAATGTGCTTCTCTCTCTGTCACTCTCTCTTTGTCAGAGTGCACACTCTTAGAGAGCTTGAGATGCCGTGGGCTGTTGAAGTGAAACAGTCCCACCAACTGTGCTCAGGATAACAAAAAGGTTTGAAGAGTGTAGCTTTTATGTCACAAAGATAAGGTTTCATAAAAAGAGAACAAAGAATGTGCATCAATACTGTGCACAGTATCGTGCAACTGAAAAAAAACAACTGCTTAAGGCATATATAATATATTAGTTATAACACATCAGGCTTCCAAAGTTTCAGACACACATGACTGGCAAGAGAAAGAAACAAAGTCACTTGTCCAAACCAGAGGCTCACGCTCTGTTACTGGGTCAGTGGAGCACTATATCTTTTAAAGCAGAAAGTAACAACCGATAAGAAGTACGACCAGGACTAAAACTTGTGTTTTTGTGATGTTACTTTACCATCTTTGCAGACGTTTCTCCTCTATAAGGAAAAAAGTTGTTTTCATTTTTGGTCCTTATAATCCTCTCGAGACAGCCTCCCTGGGCTCTGTGCTGTGAGACCTGTGCATGTTTAGAGCATCAACAAGAGAAGTCGACTGAAGTACATCCACATGACAGTGAGTTGTCTTGATCGAAATGTAACCAAAGTAATTTCCATTCTTCGTAGACTCTCCACAAGTCTGAGTGTGTAGCACAGAGAGCAGCAAATTGTCAGGCTGCCTGTTGATCCTCTTGCTTCGCTTCTCTGGCTACTTTGAGAGTTTAGAGGTGAGAGAGAGAGAGAGAGAGAGAGAGAGAGAGAGAGAGAGAGAGAGAGAAGGAGGGAGTAAGAGATTTTCTGAGAGGGGGAGGAGAAAAGCTTTCCCTTTCAGAGGAAATCCCCCTCAAGGCTTTTCAGAGTTTCTTCGCTCTCTCTCTCACCCCAGGCTTTATCACATACTCTAGCACACCCACAGTCACAATATGCCACAAATGGATCCACAAAAGCATGCCAGTTGCCACATAGACACTCACTGAGTGTGTGTGATACTGTATGTAATGTAAGGAATGTAAACATTCCCACATCCTACTTTGTCATGAATGCAAACACACGGCCACACACACACACACACACTCCTTTGCCCCGGCATCAGAGATCAGAGCTGCTGAAATCCAGCCCCTTGTTTGTGGCCCCCTTTCTTTCTATTTGAATCACTGTGAGGCTTTTAAAAGGCTAAGTCAGTCTTTCTCCTGTCCCTCCCAGACTTCCACCGTCAGCTCCAGGCTTTCTCATTTCCTCTCCTCAGCAATTGTCTTCCGGCAGACTGCCCAGTCTTTGACTCGTATCAAAGGGAGAGACGGCGGAGGGTGCTTCCCTGCAGAGGTCCGAGCTAAACAGCAGGCATGTGAAGAGCGCTGCTACACTTCCACATTTGTTCTGAGGAATGTAGGGGTTACACCCTCTGGTCTGCATTTTACATCTGGATGTGGAAGATGTATTGGGTATGAAACCAAAGACCTGTTGCAAGAAGCGAGGTTCATCACTGAGACATTCCTTGAGGGAAAAAAAGATTGACAGGCGATCGTTTATTTCTGTCTGAGAATGAGTGTGAGTGAGATGGTTTAGACAAGCAGCTCACTGTTGGCCTCAACCTCTGTTTATTCGTTCAAATTCCAGAAATTACACGAGAGTCCATGCATGTTTTCATCACAAGGATAAAAGGCAGAAAGTATTTATTTTAATCAAATATTCCTTATTATTCAGCAGGTGAAGTTGCAGAAGCTGCCGTCTCTGGAGCAATCCTCACATGTTTTTCTTTCACAGAAAGAAAGCCCATGCTAATTTCTCTCTCTCACCCTATTCCACAGAAATATGGAGGTGACGTTTTTTGAAAATGTGGTACACCTTTCCATTCCCTGTTTCTCCTCTTTGTTTCATTCTCTCCATCTCAATCATCCCTTCTTGCCCTCGTTCGTGCTTTCTCGACAACTTGGGTCTTTCCATTGATTTTATTATACCAGTATAAAAAAGGAGTCAAGCAACAGAGGGTACTTGTAGGATGATTCCCAAATTTGCTTGCTTATACTAATTCAACAATGATCACTCCACTTAAAAGTGATTTTTGTGACTAGACCGATAGAAGATTTTTTGTTTTTTTTGGTCCGATGCCAATATAGTAATTACTTTTTTTTTATTCCGATTTTTACCACGGAAACAAATTGTAAACTCAACGTTGAGATATTATTAAAAGTTGCTTATTGACATCCCACTGTTTTACAGCTGTTTCTCTGGCCACCTGCTGAATATAAGTGCAACATTTACTCTCCTTCAGCTCTGTATTTGGTCTCCACCAACTCTCAAGACAAATATCAGGTTCTATAGTTATTAAATGCTAGACGGTTTAGCTGTGAGCTCCTAACTTTGTCTGTTTGCTGTTTGGTGCTGCATGGGCAAGTAGCGTAGAGTTGGTTTATCTGTTTGTTTTTTTGCAAAAACTGCGTGCTAGCTTCGTCTCGAAAGAATATTGACTGAAACAATGAGCTTAAAGACACATAAAAGCTCCGTAGAGTCTATGAGTTTGTTCTCACAACATTTGATTCATATAAAAATACTGATAATAGCAGCTTTGAGAGTTTAAGAAATCGGTTATAAGCCAATATGGGTTTGATAAGGATCCCTTACATTTGAAGTGGACTTGATGTCATTGTGATGCGACGTCAAGCATATCTTTAGCAAATTTATTGTTACTTATTCACCCACAAATTCAGCAATACAAGATATCTTTGAAAAGGGTCTGCCTATGTATCGGCAGGGCTCTACCTCTGACTCCAGTTGATTTGTAAAAAAAAAAATCTCCTTTTGTTTTGGTTTCACTCATTGTCAAGGTCCAGACTTGTCTCCCCAGCAGAAACGTGACGGTGAAGCTATGGCGGAGAGGATGAAAGCGGGCTGACGTTCACTTTTGATCCCTGCCTCATGAAAACCAGATGGGCTGTCCATCTAAGCCGACAGAAAAGACGGCGGAGGGGCTGCTGTGTTCTCTGTGAGTCAGTGGATGGGGAGTTTTGATAGGACGCTCTTAAAAAGGCAGACATAAACACACAGAGGTACGCACACAGAGAACCAGACACAACTAGACGCAGAAATGTACACAGAGATAGAGAGCTCCGGAGATACCGCTCAAGTCCGGAAGTTTGGAGCACACACCCACACGGGTTCATTAAGCAACCGTATAAACGTGCACATGTACTGCAATTTCTTAAGTACAGGCATAAACACAGGAATTCACACACACACACACACACACACACGCAAACGCAGCAGGATGAGACCCTGAGCCCTCTGTCCTCCCTTCCTCCCTCCAAGTCTAATTCCTTTCTAGTGGGTGGGAGACCCCTGAGGCGAGTGAGCAGGACCCCTTCAGTGATTTACTTCAAACCAGCACTCGCCCACATAACCTCCCATGTAGGCTTAGACACAGCAGCCCACGGTCTTGACGGTTTATAAAGCATGACTCATAGTGAGTGTACGTACACACTAATATCGCCATTAAGGAATGGGAAAACACAAACTCTCCCCTTGGCAGTACCCCCCGCAACACTTCTTGGATCAATTACCTGACTCTATTTGCTCTCCAGGTCTATGTTCATTAGCTTTATGTGGCGCAGGTTTTTTTTGATTTAACACAAAGGGGAGAAGAGCAATCTCAGCTTTGATAATTCATATCCTGCTCTTGGATCAGTCCCAAACACTTCCAGCATGTCTGAGTGACATTATTATGAAGTGCACTGCCTCAGTGACGAATGCCTGAATAGCTTTCGGCTGTAATCACTCATGTCCTAATGGGACAAGATGAAAGGAAGAAAGAGAAGACAAAGGGGGCCGTCTCTCTCTTGTTTCTGGTTCCCAGGGACAGCGACCTTATCAGCGTCTGGAGATCTTCCTCTGTGACTGTGACATCATTTCCTGCCCAACCCCGGTCTATCAAGATGAGGGGCCTGGGCTTGTGATTTAGACATTTGGTTGTTCTTTCAACAGACAGAAGGGATAGAAGTCCGACTTCCTCCGAGTCAATATCTGTCTACAGCACAGATGCTTTTTTGTGTGAGGTATTTCTGGGTCTTTAAGGATTCAAGGCATGTTTTGAGTAGCACGTCACTTCTGTGTCGTGCTAAAGAGAAAAGAAGGGTCTTGTGGAGGAAAGATGTGCATTCAAGGACATTCCAGATTGGGGCTCTGTACATGTGTGTGCATGTGCGTGTGCTCATCTTTCATTGTTCATTCAGGTGCCGACGAGTGATGCATCGTGACATTAAATGTTCCCAAATATTCATTTCCCTTGTAATTGTTAATCCATCGAGCTCTGCATATCACGCTCTATATTTAGTGCTAATGAATGACAGGACGGAGCTGCTTGCAACACTTTAAATTGCTTTCCATCTGTCCCACTTTAACTGCTTTGTTCCTACTGAGATTTTATAAAGAGACAGGTCTCTCTGGGATGGAAATACATTCTTTTGTCAGTGTAGCTAGTCTCATTTTTCAAAGATATCTTTCTTAAACATAAAAAAAGACAAAAGACTTAAATGTTGATAAAACTCAGAAAATCTTTTTTCTCATTAATTGTAGAAAAGTATAATGGAATACACAAAATTATGGCACAATGTGAGCAAACCATCTTGCAAACATGCTTCAATATGTATGTTTAGTGTAGAGAGATGCATTATAATCCTCTCTTGATCATACTGTCCTGGTGTTTACCACAGAATCCTGTTTGTAGCAAATCCTCAATATGAACTTCAATCCTTTTGGGAAAACAATGCTCTTTGCAAATGAATCCCACTCAGCTGCAATCTAGGATAAAGCCTGAATCTATCTCTGTGTGAGAGCTTATAGCACATCAAATGCTGGGAATAAAGGACCGTGCATGCTCTGCAAGAGAGGAATGATACATTGAAGACTTCCCAAACTAGAAACATCTTTGCCATAGCTGGAAAGAACAAAGCATATTTGTTCCATATTCTTTCTGTAGGCTTTGAGTGGACATTCAAGTGGGTAATTGTATGTGAAGTGTTTGTGTTTTAGTGATGTCACGTCAGTTTACAATATAGTATAACAGGACTGTAAAATTACTTTTTTTCAATGTAATTGTTTCTACAGACAGTTTTGTAAAAATCAAAGACATTTCTATCTATCAAGCTTTTGCTTAACAAAAGGGAAAGGATTTAAATGCTGTTTTGATTATTATCATACGTGAAACTCTAATGGTACACCCACTGAGCAGTTCCACATGTTTAGGTTGGTCCCTTTCTGTCCTGATGTGTTTTCCACTGAGAGGCTCTAAGCTCAGCTGGAGACTGATGGGTGCTGGTCCAGTGTAGGAAGCAGGTGCTAAATTCACAACAGCAGACAAGTCGGAGAAAAAGAAACTGCTGTAAGCTGAGGCACAAGAATGTGTGAAGCTTGAGACTTTGGCTCAAAGGTTTGTTCCCCCCCCCCTCCTAACAAGCTACTCAAAATAAAACAAGACCGACAGTCTGGAGCCACGCTTGCGACCCCGTGAGGATGTAATACACATTACACACAAGAACCCAAACCCTTCAGTAGATGGGTGAAAAATTGACTGAGCTATAAAAATGTTCAACTTCAGCTGAGCAAAAGGAAAGCCATGAAATGCCGTTTTAGGACATTTGAGACCCAGCTCTTAATTATCATATATACTAAAATTCATCTTTGTCTATTGCTGCATTCGCACAATACA